CCGCCATTTTTAAAAAAATATGCTGATATATTATATCATATTTTTGATGCTCTTTACAATTCTAAACGTTAAAATTTTTACCTATTTTTTTATTTTGGCCGCCATTTTCTTTTTGTTCCCACAGAGATATCAAACTTTTAATGCATATTTTTTATTCTTGTTTTTAATGCTTTATTCAAATCTATACTTTAAAAAAATCTTAAATTTTCTTTTTACTTTGGCCGCCATTTTGTCTATGTTCACGAAGAGATAGATCATTTTTGATGCAACTTTTCAATACATTATTAGTAGTACTCTAACAGAATCTGAGGTCAGAATTTCAAAATTCGCAAAAAAATATGCTACACACACACACACACACACACACACACACACACACACACACACACACACACACACACACACACACACACACACACACACACACACACACACACACACACACACACACACACACACACACACACACACACATACACACACACTAAAAATGCTCATAGATTTCAGAAWACAAAAATTTTCAAGTTTTTTTTGAAAATTAACTTAATAGATATAATTTCAATTTAAATAAAATTACAAATTGTATTGTTATAAAAAACAAACATATTGTCACTTATTATATTATATACAGTATGTCTATATTGTTGACGTCATTTACTATCTATTAATATAATATTAGTCCAGATTTTGCATTATTATTATTAATATAACTACGATATACTGTATTAATATTGTTTTAAAAATAAAGTTACTATTTAATGATAGATAACAATAAAAACTATTTATTTGTATAGTATTAATATAAAAAATATATAAATATTTTATAAAAATATTGAATGTATATATGAAAGTAATAAATTATTACAAAGAGATTTTCAAATCATTATAAAATATGATAAAATTTTATTAAAATTTTGTTTTTGTTATTTAATTTTTTTATAAAACATTATATTTACAAATAATTATATAAATACATTAATCCAAAGTAAATTTATATATATATAATTATATAAAATTTAAAGATAAAATATAAAGTACATCTTTATAAGAGATACATTTAGTGTTGGCAATAAAGAGAAATTTATAAAATAATAGAGAAATTTCTAGAAATTTTCTAAAAGAGATCCCCATTTTAATTTTGTTTTCTCAATATTTTTTATTTTGTAACAATACATTGTTTTTACAAATAATGATTAAATATTATTATTAATTAAAGTAAAAAATTTATTAATTTAATTATATTAAACTATGATATATATAATAAAATGTTGAATAACATTTTACAAAACTGATTATTATTAAATAATTATAATTATTTTATATATAGGTATCCCATTTTGTATAGTAGTGTAATATATGTAAAATAGTAAATATAGTACAGTATTGTCTTATTAATATAATGTTTCAATAGCTATAGAAATCTGGATACCATAGTATAACAATAAAGTTAAATTTCTATAGAAATTTATTCATGAGAAATTTTCTAGAAATTCTCATGGAAATTTATTAGAAAATATATATTTGCTCATCTCTAGATAGAATTGAAAAGTTTCAAGTAAACAGTTTATATAATACTAAAAATTTAATTTAATGTATAATACTTTATAATAAATGTGATATTTTATTGAAATTTAGGATTATATGTATTTTTAGTTTATTTGTTTAATTTTAAAAATAAAATATTTTTGATGATTACATTTATATAAACATTTTGCTACATTTATAAATTAATATTTTAATTTTTATATGTTTTAGTCATAACAACATATTTATGTAAAAATTGTTGTTCAAAATGTTATATTTTTGTCAATATTATTTTTTCACTTTTATTGTTATATTATAAATATATATATTAATAAATATTATGTTAATTAACATAAAAATATTAATTGAATTATGTTTTCCAAATTTTGCTTTTATATTACAATTTTAGACATGCAATTACAGTTATACGATCATTACCGTACAAAAGCTGATTTTATTTTAACATTATACTAAAAAATGTATTTTTATGTAATTAAATAATCTGTAATCTTGTATTTTATTGCAAATAAAACTTTAGTCTGAAAAATGTTTCGATGTTTCTATAGATCAAAAGTTAACAAAATATATATATAAGATGTAAAAATTAAAACATTAAAATATTTATTTTATAAACCAAATACACAGATTATAACAAATTTAAATATGATAATTAAATATTCATTAATAATATTTTTTATATAAAATATTTGAAAAATATATAAAACAAAAACACAATAAATATTTATTAAAATACTTGCATTTATAAAAATTTATATATATTTAYATATATAAACCCTTAAGTTATTTTATACMATTAATAGACCTATCTTTACATTACTAAAGTAAAATTAATTCTATTCAAAATACAATATATGAAATTGTCAACAAAATTTAATTTTATAAATTTTGTCAATTTTTTTTTAAAAATAACAATTATTTACTGTACATATACAGTAAAATTACAAAAATATTTAGATAACAACATTTAATATCAGACAGTCGGCACTTATTTATTTGCATTAAAAAATAAAATGTATATCAGTCTAGTAGTCTGTGATATGTCTAGTATAGTGTTTACAATAAATGAACATGTTAAATTATACAATTGCTATACAGTAGTATCTGTTTTTGACATTTATGGTAAAAACAAATTTTGTTTAATAATTAAAATCTTAAAAAATATTTTATTAAGCAATTATATGAAATTAATAAATAATTTTTAAATAATTTAATTTGTTATTAGTGTCGTTAGAATTTAATTTAAAAATCAAAAATGATTTCAAAGTTTAATGAAAATCTGAACTAACATATGACAACATTTTATTTTCATATATAACTTTAGATAAAAAACTGTATTTTGTCATTTTTAATTTTAAATCTTATAAAAATAATGATTTAATTATTAAAATAATAACAATAATAACTGATATATTAAACAATACTCAACATACATATTGAAAATAATTTTTATTAATATAATTTTCAATGATAAAAAATTTAAAATTTAACTATTTATAAAACTTTAACTACAATTTCCGAATTTAACTGAAATTTTTCACACTACTTGTTACAGCATTAAAATACAGTATAATATGAATAAAAAAAATTAAGGAAATAATATAATGATTACAAATCAAATTATAAACTTTAAATAAAAATTTTATTATTATATTTAGTTATTTTAGTTAACGAACAATAAAATAGTTATTTATAGTCTTTGATAAATAGATTTACTATAAATAATTTTTGATATTTTAATAGTATTTTATTAATAAAATATGCACAATAATTATTATTTAAATAAAAGATAAATTAACAAAAATCAACTTATTTTCAAGTGAAGTGACTATTTTATAGATAACTTATCCGGGATAAGTGTGACCCATAACTACTGTATATACTGTACAATACATTGACCACTCAATTATAAATCTATACTCTCTATGGACTCTATAGAGTTTATAGTACTATATTTAATCATTGGTCGCCCATTGCACTCATAATACAAAGTCTCATCAATTGATATGCTATTAGCGAACATCCCATTAATATCAAGTGCCAAACTAACCCGTCTTAATATTTAACAAAATAGTCAACTAATCAAATAAAATACTATGAAATGAACATTGCTTTTCAAAATCTCTGATATAAACTTAGACTTTCAATGAAATTGCGATAAAACACATACACGTAGTTAAATGCAGCAAAAATTAATATGATTTATAAATAATACATTTTACAAACATATTTTATATTAATTTATATGAGCAGACTTAACTAATTTCATAAACATTTATACCATAAAAATATAACTAATATCAATTTGATTACATAATTAATATTAATTTATAATTTTTATTAATGATTATATTAAATATAATATTTGTATAAATATAAATTGTCATTAAGTTTATGTATGTAAAATTTGTCGTGTCTAGAAATGTTTAATTATTTATAAATATCCTTATATAATTTGTCTATATTTTTACAAAAAAAAGTACATATATTAAATTACATAAAAAATTGTTTTTTCGTAAGATAATTAAGAAATTTTAAATATTTTCACTTAAATAATATCGTATTAATCATTTTATTAATATATTCTAATTATTCTAAGATTATGTCATTCAATTTTTTAAATAGTTTTTTTTGCACATCAATAATATTATTTTTATTGTTTGTGAAAAATTTTTCTCGTTTATTATTAATAATAATAGTTTATTGRGTTTAATAGTTTATAAGTATATTTTTAGATTTTAAAAATAATTACTAATAGCTTGACAACAATAAATTATTTAGCAATTGTATTGTAATAATTTTATTATAAGCTTTAACTACTGCTATGGTTACTTATTAATTGATAGTAATGTTTTAATACTAACTGTAATATTAATAAAAATAACATTAATAAACTTAAATTATATATAATGATAATCAACTGGAATATTAAAATAAATCATATTAATATTGAATGTTTAATTTAAAATGATACCTTGTATGACCTGGGCTATTTTGTAGATTATATGCTATAAAATTTATAGTATTTTATATACCATATACTGTAGTGTAGAACTTATTTATATACTTACAGTATATAATATAATATACTGTACTATAATCCGCTTATTAATAAAGTATCAAAATATTGTTTCAACTAATTCTAGTAGTAGTAGTAGTACTAGTAATAGACCCGATAGTGATCATCAAAAGTGATTATAACTTGGAGAGAGAGAGAGAGAGAGAGAGAGAGAGARAGAGAGAGATAGGGAGTAGTTGACACTTGACATGACATGACATAAAAGCTTATATTATTATAGTGTATAACATTTGGGGCCAAATCATAGATATATCATATATTTGTCAAACTGTGCTCTCGTTGTTGTGTTATGTTTGACATCATTTGTGTTTAAATGCATTGACTGTATTGTATATTTCAATAGAGTATAACTGTATCTAAAAACAGCTGATTTGTGTTCACTGACTAACAGAGAGAGTGAGTGTTGAGACTCTGTGTTGCTATACATTCATACATACAGTGAGACTCTATTGCATTGATTACCCATTGAATAGCAGTCGACTCCTTCACTCATTGACAACACATTCATATTATTATATATTAAAACCATATTATGATTGACACGATTGACAACTGTTGTCGACATTAAGCTTACCATTGAATTGATCCACAAGAGTGTCGACATATAGTATTAGAGTAAGCGATTGGCCATAACTGCAACCAATTTGATTGTTGTCTACCATTACATTGCATTGTTGTGTTGAATAGTCTTTGTGTGATAAAAGCATCGCAAGTATTGTCATTGTTTGCCATCGATGACGCTCTTAGTGATGACATATGCTATACATTAGGTTGTATTGCAATCAATCAATCGGTTGATCACAAGATTGGACAGCATTACTACCAATGTTTTTATCGTAAGAGAGATTGCACTTAATTGGCATACATTTTGAGCCCATTTTGTGGCCTAAAAAACCTTTCACCAAATTTGAGGTCAACCTCTTTGCGATCCAGTCGTGGCCGTCGGTAACCAACTTCTAGTTGGAGGACAGGTATGTCTTCAGGTGTTGGCGACCGGTTAATCAAGTTTTTGGGCCTTAAGTCTACGGCAACGCAACCGCAGTCCAACACTTGCACCGGAAGTAATTGTCAGCCAAATGATCATCAAAATGGGTGTCCTATGAAACCATCGAATAGTATTATTGAGTATCAGCTCACAGATGACCAACAAAATGATTTGTCCCGCAAAGCAAGTCTAGCGACACGCGTGAAGACCATCAAAGAACTCGAAGAACTGGTCGGATGTCAGCGTTTGGTTGATTTCACCGTAAAATCGATAGTCTTTGAAACAATTGATCTTTTGGACGACAACTACTCGACAGACATTAGACATACTGTTTATAAATTTTATAAGAGCCTAGCATTGGGTCAATTGGATAAATTAAGAGATTTGCTGCCTATCTTATGGAGTCTGATCTCAGACAAAGTGACTCATGAAGAAGACATTCCTCTTCGTATGGAACTATTGATAGCTATGACAGACGGCGGCCGTAACTATGAACACATTAAATGCAAAATCGGACCCTTTGTTAACCAATGGTTTGACAAAACGATTGTTTGTCAGCGAATTAGTGCCGATTTTTTAGAGTTTATAACAAATTTAATCAAAAATAACAACCAATATATTGATCAAAATCTGATGACAGACTTGACCACTAAAATCTGTCATTTGATGCAACGAGTGATCAATACTGAAGAGATGACTGCTTGCTATCATATAATGGATGCTATTATTTGCCATTCAATGCTTCCTTTAAAAATGTTAACAATTTTTGTTATTATTTTATGTAAAGGAGTTAACAATTCTTATTTTAATAGCATTTGTATTAAAATTATGCGAAACCTTTTGAGTACACATTTAGGACATTCATGTGTTGATAGTTTGAGATATATTTTAAATGATGAAACCAATTACGGAGACTTGTTTTTAATGAGAGGAGCCATTAACTTCTTGTCGCGTTCACTATGGGATCAAAATCGTATTGAAACCTTAAGACATACACCTAATGTTATTCTTCCCATATTTAAGAGTTCTCTCCAATGCAAACATCAATCGGTAGCGTTTGAAGTCTTACAGTCACTTATATGTCTTATTGAAAATCAAAAGAAGATATTAAACGAACAGTCATGGGATCTAATGCTTGACATCGCCGATGAAATTGTATTTAATTATGAGATTTGTTGTGAAAACTCTGGTCACGAATTTAATCAAGTATTTCATAAATTCTTGGATATCGTCGAAGATCTCAACGATAAAAAACAGTTTTATGGCGAAACCGATAAACTCTTTGCTCTTCTCGAAAAGTGTTCATTATATCGATCGGTTTGCTTTTGTTATTATGTCTTAAATTAACTGTTAATATGTTTATTAATTTTTTGATTATTTGTTGTATATTTTGTAGGAACTGTCGGGCAAACGACTAATACAATATAGGGCACAGTCTTTAAAAGCAGATAAAGATGATTGGATCGATTCATTGAAACATTTGATGGATATGTTTTACAAAGAGGAGAAGCGAATATATATACGACTGGAAGCACTCGACATATTGAGTGAATTTGTCCGAAATTACCGGTACATCCATGAGGTTAGCACTTATTCATTATTGATTTTGTTTATTGTGTTATACGTTATATACRTGTACTATAAAACTCGTAATTAAGTTGCAGAATATTTTATTGCTAAATAAATTATTTCTTTTATACTTTTGTTTTTTATTTTGTTAGCATTTATTTTACGCTAAATAAAGTAGGAAAATAATTTGTTAACTGTGTTTATTAAACACCATTACACTGTAGTTTTTTATATTTAAAAATATCTTAAAGCATTTTAAAAACATTTATTAGGTTATATTTAAACAAAATTAATTTGTTTTGTACTCTTGTTTTGCATTAGTTATAAATATATAATAGTTGTAGAGAAAAAAATAATATATTTATTTAAAATATTTTAAAAATAATGTCTGTTATTTATCAGTTAAATACGGTTTGTACGAGACTTTTGATCCCATATTTTAAAAGTTATTTACTTTAGATTTTTGTCATTAAGTCATTGAAACATTTTATTGGTGTTTATGCAATAAACGTATTTAATTTAATTAAATAGCAAACCATAGTGTTTATCATTATTGTGCAAAATTTATTATATCTTATATTTGGTTTTAAATACAAAATAATTGGATATTTATTGATGGATTATACGAAAATTAAAATTAAATTACTTTAATATATACTGTGATACAAATACGGTATATACTGTACATTAAATTTTATATTTAAGCTATAAATTAGGAAAACTAATGTGTATTTAATATTAACTTATTTATTACAATTGCCATTAGGTTTATCTAAAGAGAAATCAAATCTGAATTTTTTTGCCAAAACTTTTATTTTTCTTAATTCCTGTTGAAAAGAGTTTGTCATTAAAATACAGACATTAAGTTATTAACAGTTTATATACATATTTGATAAGCAGTTGTACTCATAAACATATTTACTTTGTATTATATKTCGTTGAATAATAAAAATAATATTTCACTTTAGCAGTTGATAACAAATTATAATAATAATAATCAGCACTAAAACTAACACAAAATCGGTAAATCCCGAAATTATTTATTTATTTAAGATAAATAAATCATCGGTAATTAAATGTCAATAATGTTTAACCATATTATATATAAATATATTATAAACATCATTAGTTTTCCACAATTTTAACTGTTTGGACCAAAAAAAATTAATTCTGAATTTAATTTTAGTATAAATATTTTTACAAATAATAATCTTTTAATTCTAAATATTTACATAAAATAATAGTTGACATAAAAAAATTATTTATAATTAAAATATAAGTAAAAAGTCAAAATATTTAGAAAATTACAATAACCTTGTTGATATTTTTTTAAACAATTATTATTGTAAACAAATATTTATACTAAATATGACTAATTAAGTAATTATAAATTTAAAGTGAGTAAATTTTAGTTTATGAATAGTTAACATAAAATATGAATGTAAAAGTAAAGTAAAGTCTTATATTGAATTTTACCAAAATATAATATTGATGTTAAAAATTGTTGTTTAAAATAACAATCTTAACTTAATATACAGTATATTAACTACAGATTTTAACATTTTCCCATATTTGTTAGCTCTAGTGATTGCTGTTTATTACATAATATATACATTTACTAACAAAACTTTCCTTAGAATATTACATAACTTATATAAATATTGTAAATTAAATCATTAACCTTAAAGTTGAACAAATAGTTGAAAAATACATGGTATTAGAGAATATTCTGTTTTGATAATTATATTAAATTTGAAAAATAATGGCAAACATAGTTTATCTATAGGCCTATTATTAACACGTTTCTAAATTGTTAAAAATGATAAATTTAAAGATTTTTATAACTTATACTATAGTAAATTTAGTGATATTAAACAATAAATAGGTTTGCAAAATAATAGTTATATAGTTGTCTACTAATGATTAACATAATGCTTGCTATCATGTTTGCTGTCACGTAATATTGATATATATTACACACAATTTTTAATGTGTTTGTGTACTGTATTTGGCTTTTCTAATACTATAGTTGTATAATACAATGCTARTAATTACTTATTTTTTAAATATTCCCTAATAAATTATATACATTTTTTGGTGCTAATATTATTATTATTATTATGTGACATTAAATAAAGGAAAATTCTCTTATTAAAATAATAAAATAATAAAATAAATTATAATAAAATGCTCAAAAACTTTTATGATACAATTTTTTACTCTTTATTTATTTATAGGAAGTTTTATATGAAGCAATAATAATACCTTATTTAAGTCACATCGAGTCGGACACAAGTGTCGAGTGTCGGGGACGGGCTATTCAATTGCTGGTAGATTTAGTCAATGATAGCAATGTTGCCAAAAGATGTGTAGATATTCTTGATATTCTCGATCGGGTTAGATATTTGACATTTATTTTATAATTTAATTTTTACAATGAATTTGTTTTAATTAGATTTGCAAACGAGTATTTGAATGTAATTATGTCAGCGCTTCTAATAAAAACAGTAATACCAGTGATAGCGATGGCAGTGACATAAAAACAGCAATTCGTGGACTGATTTCTTTATTTAAGAATAAATTGTTTTCTATTCCCGGTTTGACTGCAATACATGCTTTCAAAATAATTGTAAGTCATTTGTCGGTCCACTACACGGTTCCCGACTATAATCCATTTATCGGACAAATAGGTTCAGTTGTTAAACAAGAGGTATACATAATATTTATATTATTTTTTGTTTATAAGCTTATTAAAGACTATTATTACCGATAATCGTATTTTAAAATATATGTTTTGTCGTTCAGATATTTGATCTATTGTTGAACATCAGAGCCAACTCAAAGGGACAAATCGGTGTTTTCTCTCAACGAAGTAATCCCTCACAACCCGATAATACTCTGAAATATAGTTTATTTATTGTCTGTGAACGAAACGAATTGAGTCCGAGTACCAGTTCCGCCGCATCTCCTGTCGTAAGCGCCACAACTACTCCACAGACAATAAACCCACTGTCACCGCCTCCCAGTCCAATACAACACTCAGTCAACATAAGCAATCTTTGGACGCTATCATTCAATGATATGTTTAAAGTCCTGTCCATATGTTTGCGAACCGAAAAGGATTGGATTGTTTTGAAACTCGTTTTGAACGCTTTGCCAAAATTTCTCAAAAACAAAGCCATTATTCTGTCGGGAAGTCCTAATGTTGCCAATGATTTGTGTAACGCTCTCTGCTATCTCGTATGTTATTGTATTTATTTATATTGTTTTTGTATATTTTATTTTTCATTTTCTACTTTTAATATTTTTAATATATTTATTGTTAAATTAAATAGATTAATGAAACGTCTGCCAAATTAACTGAACTCATAACAACTGATCCGAGGCTAACAAAAGCTGATTTTCAATCGTTTGTTTATCCATCGCTTTCAGCACTGGTTGGCTATCAGAATGAATTAGAATTTAAAAATCAGGTTTTTTTCAGAATTAATTTACCAATAATTATAAGTTATAAATATTTATTGTTAATTATTTTAAATTTAAATCCAGTGTCATATAATAAAATGCTTACAAAATGGATTGATTTTGGTTTCCGGAAAACCAAGTGTTTTGCGACAAAATATACTGTCTCTGACCATATGTGCCGTCGAAATGCAAGAGGCAATGACCAAATGTTTACCCGAAACCCTATTAAGTCTTTCCAAAATTTCAGCTACTGTTGCACTATCTATACCTAAATTAGAGTTTTTATCAAGTAATTGATTATTTTCATATAATTTATAATTAAACAAATTGTATAAAATTGTATTTATTAATTTCAGATGTAATATTATTGTCGCAACTTTATCACAATTTTACAATGGATCAATATATGAGTGTATTTGCAATAGCACTTCCATACACTAATCCTTTTAAGTAAAAAAACYTGATTCATAATCGATATGTTCATCAAATTTAATTTATTATTATTTTAATATAAGATTTAACGAGTATACCGTTGCACTGGCCCACAGAGTGATTGCAATGTGGTTTCTCAAATGTCGACTCCCGTGTCGCAAATCTATAGTTCCCTTTATTATTAAAGTAACTAATTTTTATATATTGTTCTTTAAATATCTATTTATTTATTTTTTTTAATATTATACTTACGGTAATATTAACTGAAAAATTATTGATTTTTATAGGGTTTACAAACTAATGTGTTGGAAGAAATAAATCATATGAACCAATACAATGACGCACAACGCCTAAGAAGCAGTAGTTTGAATACAGACCAAAGTCTGGCCCATAAAAAGTTAGCATTTTTAACAAAACTTATTAATATTAATCTTATTATTCACTGTATGTCAAAGTAGATGTAGATTTTAACACATATTTGTTTTTATTTTTTTCCTTTTTTTGTTTGTTTGTCTTTTTTGAATGTAATTAATACAAAATGAATTATAATATACAAAAAAAGATTGGAAGCGCGTCTATCGCTGCAATCATCCCCTCCACCATTACCCTCAACGCCCCACTCATCACATTCACACTTTTCATTTTCCTTTAGCAATGAAGCTATTTTCCAACACAACCAACTCTCCCAACACTTACCACAGCAACAGATCAATAACAGCACTATCTGTGAAAATGAGTTTCAAGAGTCTAAACACGAGTTGGTCGAGACCTGTATGGATATGTTGGCCTCTTATACGTTTGGCATGTGTTCTACTGTTCCATTCAAGTCACCAATGGTTGAACAACTTCTCGATCGTAGCAAAAGTGAAACATGGATTGTCGGCCATAAGTTGGTTACCGTTACAACCAGTGGTTGTGGATCACGTGCCGTTTCCAATGGACTCTGCGATAAATGTCTTCAAATGTGTCGAAATAGCGATAATTCTGAAATCTCTTCAAATGAAGACATTGCTACAAATAATAACGATGTATTTCAGCAGTCATTTGAATCAAAGAATAAAATCGAGTTAACCAACTCTATCGATAGCGACAAATTGGTCCGAAGGCGCCATCAGTCAGAAATAGGACACATTCTGCGACCTCAGTCGTCGAAACCTCAGTCCTCAGCCTTTGATGATTCGTGTTTGAATCATAACATTCAAAGGGTTAACTCATTTACAACTAATAAGACAACTTTGTGCAGCTGTTGGTGTCAGGGATGGGCTGAGATTCTTGTTAGAAGATCGACTGGAGTCAGTTCATGGATTGTTCGCCTTCAGAACTCATTGGGTAACTTTCCCTACTCGTCCTCCCCTCCCGACGATTTGCCCGATTTGACGGCACTGTTGCGTACAAATCGAACCCGAGAGCCATCAATTGAAGGCTCGGGCAGTCAAGAAGCTATTGACAGCAAAAGAAACAGCTTTGATATCAATGAAATAGAAAACGATTCAGTTTTCAAGCGAACGGTTTCCAATCCACAAATGGATGAAATATCTGAAAAACCATTGATTTCATCAAATAATGAAAATGGATCCGAAAAACCGTTTGTTTTCCGACCAATAGAGACGGCGCCCATTCCTTCGACTCGAACCAGTCCTTCTCAACCGGTGACCAGAACTCAATCATTTGGCAGCAAAATTAGATCCGATTTCAAGACGAGACTTTTGGATAGAAAAGAATTTCGAAGTAATGATTTAGAATCACACGCAGAGTTTGCTCCTCAWAGAGGATATTCACACTCAAGAGAAACCACTAAAACACCAATTGTTCCCTTAAGAATCAATGAGGCAGAGAATATGTCCGGACCCAGGGATCGGGTTCACACCATATCGGTAATGAGTCCGGCAAATATTAATCGACGTTTTAGTAAAGATGTCGACACTTCATATTCAATGCCAAAATATAGTGGTTTGTGTCCCAAATACGTGTTTCTTCAGCTGTATTACAATTCAATGATTTATGAGAGATGTCCTGAAATACGGGTAGACAAAGACATCGAAGTACACGACAAAACTAAACCAATATTATTGCCTAAAAGTGATGCAATCGATCGTTCGCTGAAAAATTTGGATCGCATTACACCATATGAGACACACAAGATTGGAGTGTTGTATGTGGGACCGGGACAGGCAAAAGATAAGACAGCCATACTATCTAATCCGTTCGGATCATTGCGTTATATCAAGTTTTTACGTGGTTTGGGAAAAATGATACGTCTGGAAGATGTCGACTCTCAGGTAACCTTTCTGGGAGGTCTCGATGATAAAGGACAAGATGGTAAATATGCCATCTCTTGGGAGGATAATTTGGTTCAAGTGATCTTCCATGTGGCCACTCTGATGCCCACTAAAACAGACACTGATCCCAACTTTAACAACAAAAAGAAACACATTGGCAATGATTTTGTTTGTATTGTCTATAATGAAAGTGGATCTTCAGTTAACATATCTACTATTAAGGTATTGWTCAAATGAATTATATTTATCTATCAGATCCCTTAACCTATTTGTAATCCCAATTTCTAGGGCGACGGACAGTTCATTCAAGCAATCGTTGTTATCACACCTTTTGAATACAACAGTAATTTGGTTACCATTCAGGCAAAAGAAGGTATACGTTGTGTTGAATTTGTTGGTGAAAATGAAAACTAAATTTTTAATATACATTACAATAGATTTCTTGAACCTTATCGGACACTTTGATTCACAAATGCTATCCGATTCTGCATTACCGTTGTTTGTCCGTCAACTGGCCCTTCACGCGAATGTATGTCAAATATGTCAATTGATATAATAATTACGGTAATAATTTTATTTGTATTATAGTTGGGATCTATGGTGTACAATGTGGGGCATTCGGGCACATCTACTTTCCAGACACAACATGTCTCAAATTGGGTACAAAGACTAAAGCAAATTAAACGTATCCGCCAGCGATCCACCAATAAGTCGGGTAATGATGCGTCTCACAGGTCTCTCAGCAATGATTTGGCCGATGACTTGACCTCAGGGATTGGAGTCAATCCACAAACGGGTGATAATTTGAAATCGCAATACATATTTCCAGATTTCAATGATTATTCTTAAGATTATAAAACAAAACTAGATATATATATATACGACAGAGTTTTAATTAAACTATTGTTAAAGATTTTGTCAAATAAAACAATAAAATATTTTTTAATTTAATATTTTTTGTAATCCATTTAAAGATATATATTTATGGCTGTAATCTTTGATAAGCCCAGCCGTCTTCACCCAATTTAGTGATAATACCGTCGACTTTCTGGTTATCGTCTGATTTGAAAAAGCGAATCCTATCGTGTAGTCTATCTGTCTGTCCCATCCAGAACTCATAAACTTCGGGCACTATAGTAAAACCGCCCCAAAAGTGAGGTTTCGGTATATCATTCGGATATTTTATCTCTTCTTCATTATATATATCAACCATTTTATCTCTACTATCTATGGGTTTACTTTGTTGACTAATACGTGCGGACAGTTGACTGGCCCGCGGTCTCGATTTGAAATATTGCACCGATTCCTCTTCGGACACTTTCTCTACTCTGCCTTCAATGCGCACCTGRCGGTTGAAGACATCCCAATAAAATAATAGAGAAGCGTTTGGATTTTGGATCTTAAATCAAATTATTATCATATAATGAATGAATCATATTTTTAACGATAATCTTATCAATTAAATCTTTACTCACCATTTCCTGTCCCTTCCGACTCTCATAGTTTGTGAATATAGTGAATCCCTGATCTCCATAAGCCTTCAGTAATACCATACGAGCCGATGGGCGACCGTTTCTAAGCAAACAATCATAGTTTGATAAAAAAAACTTTATAAAAGTTATAAAAACACTATCACTATATCTAWTAATAATAATATATATATTGTCTATAAAATATGTATTAATAATAYAATAATTAGTAAATTTTTGACACAAACTTATCACTTGTGGCCAAACAGACAGCATTTGGTTCATAAATTTTGCCGCATTTCTTGATCTCATCAAACCATATGTCAAATAATTTCAATGGATTTTTGGACTCCAATTGTGTCTCCAATAAGATCTGTTGTTTAGTACTGTAGGGCTTTCGCATCGCTAAGCAATACAAACACATAAAAGGCAAGTCATTATTGAAAACTATTGAAACAATTTGTTTGACAATCACTTACCGCCCAAATCAACATTTTTCTTACTAATTGAACTCATTTGGTGACTATTGTAAGCAATGATTACTGATTTTATATTAAAATAGTGATCTCTAGACAATAACTTCAATAATATTATAGTATTTTTCATATAATGTCTTCAATGATATGTTAGAAATGGATTATTATTATTATGAAAACTTTAATGAGTTATGATTTTGCAAAATATATATTACATATTAAATATCATCTAAACAGAGACCATACTTGTAATACATGACAAACAAATTGGTTGATTGATTGGTCACAACAACCAATCAAACCAAATGATAAAATTGAAACATTTTTTCATATCATAACTTCATATCATATTTGATAACTTTGTTGGTAAGCCTTTTAAGTGAAATGTATATTCAAATAAATTGAGTCTCAAATATCATATACACTAAACATATGATTACATTGAGAGGATAGTTGTGTATATTTTTTGGGAAAAGGCATCCTTTGATGTTTGAAAAACTCCATCTAATGTTGAAAAGGGATAACCAGTGATGTCAAAGACATCCTCCAGAGTTAAACCATTGAAAGACTCATTCCATATAAAGTAAGGCCTGTTTGCGGGGTTTGCCTTAAAAATCTCAGTAAAATATCCATTACTTTAGTGACTCTCAGATCCAGTKAATGTCTATATGTTTTTGCATTGAATGTTGTTATTAGTGTTTATCCACTAATAACACACAAATGCATCCGATTTTACAATTAATTTAATTTTATTCAATTAATAACACTTTTAATGGCAATTCTCATCCGATATACTTATTATTAACAGTGATTACTATCATTAGATATGTATTTTATCACCAAAATTGTTATATATTTAATTTAAATTGAAATGTTTTAAACATCTGTTCATTAAATATTTCAAATATCAACTCATTTGTTATACATAACTGAATCTCATATTATTATTATTATTATTACTATTATTAATGTTTGGTAAGTRTGTATACCATTAAAATTATTTTACAAAACTTGTGTCTATTTTTAGTATATTTGCCTAATATATCAACTTTTATTATCATTTTTATAATTTTATTGATATTACTTTTATAAAAACTGTCATAAGTTTTATAATTAATAATTACATCAAATAATTTAACATTAATTAAATTTATACTATTGTTGTCTTTAATGTTATATATAAATAATATGCATCTTTTATAAAAGCGATATTATTTTATTAATTATTTTTATATTTAATTTGCACTTTTATTATCGTTTTTTCTCACATTAAATACATTTTTATTAGTAATTAATCAAAAATAGAGCCAATTATTAGTAAATAAACAAAATAAATGACAGCTTTGTATTAATTTATATAAAAAAAGTTTATTATATAACTTATATCTATTAATATCGTATAGTCTTTTAGTTTTAAATAAACATTTTATTAATTTCTTAATACTTGTAAATATTAATATATATATATATATAAGCTTTTGATATTATAAGGCGTGAAAATTATTATTAGTTTTATGTCTTATATAAAATAATATTAATATAAGTATTGTATTGCTGTGGAAACGGCTATATATTAGACTACAATATATGCGGCAATAATTGAAAAATATTTTAGTATTTCTCAGAGATATGTGACTCATAAAAGTAATTATAAAATATATTTATTTAATTATATTTTATTTAATATTTGTTAAACATTTGGTTTTTTAAAGTGAATCATTTTTTTAAAATTTAAATCATTATATAAAATAAAATACTTTTTATACTTTATCTACAAGTTGTAAACTTATACACATTATGTTATTTAGAGAGACACTAAATATACCGTAAAATTTGTTTTATTTGTTTGTTTGATATAATGAAAACAACTAAAACCTAATTCTTTAGGTCACGAATTGAGTGAAAAGTACTGCAAATATATATTTGAAGAGATTTTTATTTATGTATGAAAAGACTCTCTTTTGAAATGAACTCAAATTTTGAAAAAATATATATATTTTTGGCTCTCATTCATRGTTTTTGACACAAATGAATCACACATTTGTGTCAAAAAAGATGACAAAATGAGATGATTTGAATTCATAGTACAAAAGTTTAAACAGTAGTGTTGTGTTTAGTCCTATGGATAAGCATTCGGTATATACTGTATATAGTATATGATGTGTCCATAACCAGAGTCCAGTCGCGGTTAATATGGTCTACAGTAACCTTAACCCTAACTCTCTTTCTCTGACACATGTGCTGCCCATCCCAATGCATGCCATCCCCTCATCCCTGAACTTCACTCTAAACTCACATTATATTATGTTTGTGCGGTTTTTATGGTTTGTTTAGATATTTCAAAGCAATTTGTGTTTCTAAAGAAATATATTGTAATAACATTTACAGTGAATACTAAATATTTCACTGCATTTTCTTTTACTGCCATTGAGTGGTTATTTTTATTGAACKCTAAAAGCAAACTTTATATTTGTTTTTTCATTTAATTAAATATATTATTAAATTTTAACTAAATATTCATWTAGTTATATATAWAAAGCTATGCATTGAATTATATAKACATTAATGTGAGATCCCATAAAACCATAAAAGGATTTTTAATCTAAAAGCTATGCAAATATAACTAACATAAGAAACTAACAGAACGGGTACTCCAACCCAACCAACTCATTGGGTGCCTATGTTTCAGCCCATAAAACACTTTGGCATTACTTATATGTATTATATAATTTCCGGTGAATTTTGAAGTTACTTTAAAAACACCTAATCTTATATTAATCTTATATAATCGTATTTGTTTTTTTTTAAATTAAATTTATTGACAAAAGTTATTTATTTATTCATTAATTAATTAATTATTATTTTTATTATTTTCAGGAAATCTGATTCCTCATTTGGAAAAATTATACATTTTATCAAATCATCAAAACTTAATAAAATTATATGAATATTTTGGAAATAATAATTTTTTAATTTAATAATAATTATATAAATATATATATACATATTATAGGCAAAAATGAATTACATTTATATATTAGTCATATTATTTTACTTAATCACTGCCACAGTATCYCAAAGTAAGTATTTAAAAACAATAGGAATAATTGCCAGGAATTTCCTAACCATTTATTTGTTTATAAACTATTGAACTTTTAATTAACTTTTATCACTACATAATTCTAAATTATTTTCTAATAAATTCTAATAAATAATTAAAAATATTTGTTTGTTTTATTTATGTTTTATATAACAGTAAAAAACGATGACTTAAATAGCAATCCCTGTACATCAAAGGAGACGTGTAGTGAATGTATAACAGCTAACCCACAGTGCGGGTGGTGTATGAAGAGGGGTAACTTCAGTTACCACAGATGCGATTTTATTCATCGACTCTCAGATCACGGATGTTTCGATCAAATCTTTTATCCGAGTCCTTCATTTAGTCCAACTCGTAATGACGATCTGTCCAATAGGACATCTGAAGATGTGGATCCGATACAAATGAGGCCTCAAAGAGTGCACCTTAAGATCCGTCCAAATTTGCCGTATAGCGTACACATTCAGTTTAAACAAACATTAGATTATCCGGTAGATCTCTACTATTTAATGGATTTGTCCAAATCCATGGAAGATGATAAAGAAAAATTAGCACAACTGGGCAACCAATTGGCAATTAATATGAGGAAAATTACTTCAAATTTTAGATTAGGTTTTGGATCGTTTGTAGATAAGGTTGTCATGCCTTATGTCAGCACTGTTAGGGAAAAGTATGTCAAATTAACATTGATTTTATTTAAAACTTTTATTGATTATAAATGTTTTTTTTCTTTTATTTTAGATTGGATGAGCCGTGTTCTGGATGTGCGGCTCCATATGGTTTTAGAAATCACATGAAATTGGACACCGATTCCAGTGATTTTGTACAAAAAGTAGCTGAAACTCAAATATCTGGTAATTTGGACGCACCTGAGGGGGGATTTGATGCTATAATGCAAGCAATTGTCTGTAAAAACGAAATCGGATGGCGAGAAAAGTCCAGAAAAATGTTAGTTTTCTCTACGGATTCGGGCTTTCATTATGCTGGCGATGGAAAGTTAGGCGGTATTATAAAGCCGAACGATGGGGAGTGCCATTTGGATCGGTCCGGACTCTACACTGAAAGTACAACACAAGATTATCCATCAATCAGTCAAATTAACCACAAAGTCAAAGAACATCACGTGAACCTTATATTTGCCGTTACGGCTAATCAAGTGGACATTTACCGACAATTAGCTGAAGGCGGCAATCCATTGATTGAAGGCTCAACAGCCGGTCGACTGGAAAACGACTCATCAAATGTTGTGGAACTCATTCAAGAAGAATATCTGAAAATTACATCTGCAGTGGAACTAAAAGACAACGCAACTGATAACGTAAAGATCACATACTATTCTTCGTGTTTGAATCAGAAAAAAGAAGAGACAAAAATCTGTAGAGGACTGAGAGTTGGGGACACCGTTACATTTGAAGCCAAAATTGAGGTCACCTCTTGTCCTCGCAATCCAAATGAATGGAACCAAACAATACAGATATATCCGGTCGGTCTGAATGACGCCCTTATCATTGATTTGGAAATGATTTGTGATTGCGATTGTGAAAAGTCGTGGAATGAACAGATCAATAGTCCCTATTGTGAACACAGGGGTACACATGAATGTGGTATCTGTTCGTGTTATGGCAACTTCTATGGCCGAAGATGTGAATGTGATGCCAAAGACGCCAATCCTGCCGAAGAGGAACAGTCTTGTATTCGAGGAAATGATACAAAAGTGTGTTCAGGTAGAGGCGCCTGCAGGTAATGTAGTTTATTAATGATACTTAAGATAATTATCTCCAATTGATTACCAATTTTAAATGATAGGTGCGGTGAATGCGAGTGCTATAAACGCGAACAACCAGAAGAAGTGACCGGAAAATTTTGCGAATGCGATAACTTTAGTTGCGATCGATATGATGGCAAAGTGTGCAGTGGACCCGATCACGGAAAGTGCGAGTGCGGCACTTGTATATGCAATGATGACTGGACTGGAACTGACTGCAGTTGCAAAAAATCTAATGAAGACTGTATTGATCCGCGAACTAATAAAGAGTGTAATGGCAGAGGAAAATGTGTTTGCGGTCAATGTGTTTGTGAACCAAAAGATGATGAACAATACACCGGTCAGTATTGCGAAGATTGTCCGACTTGTAAATCATTGTGTGAGGCATACAAGGAATGTGTTCAGTGCCGTATCCATCAAAGTGGACCGTTAGATGAGGAGGCGTGCAATCAGTGTAATATTAATCCGATCGGTACGTCCGAGTTTGAAGTGGGAGACGGAGAACAGTTGTGTGTCTTCATTGATGACGACGACTGCAAATTCCAATTCAAATATCGATACGACGATAAAGACGACAGTATTTATGTGATCGCACAGAATACTAAAGACTGTCCCGAACCGGTAGATGTGTTGGCTATTGTTATCGGTGTTATTGTCGGTATTGTCCTCATTGGTCTGGCATTGCTTCTCATATGGAAACTGTTGACAACAATTCACGATAGGAGAGAATTCGCCAAATTTGAAAAGGAGAGGATGATGGCTAAGTGGGACACTGTATGTATTAATTGTTAACAACATTAATGGCAATCAACCAAATCTTACTTATTTTTGTCTAATAAAAGTTATTAATAATCTAATGTTGATTTTTATCATTTATTTTTAGGGCGAGAACCCAATCTTCAAACAAGCGACCACTACCTTTAAAAACCCCACATATGGAGGCAAACAGTGATAGTAATTAATCAAATGTTATTAGTTATCGATTAATAATTAATATAAATATAATCTCATTGGAAATAATATCATAAAACTTTATTATATTTTGTGTTCCTCTCGACTGAAGTCTACTTTTATATACAGTATATATAAATAATTTGTGTAATAATTGACAATTTTTGTGTTGTGTAAACATTTGTTTGATAATTATTTTTAAAAGACTTGTTAACGAACTCATAGTTTGCATAATTATTAATCAAATTAATGTTTATTATGTTTAGCGATAAAATTTATTTACCCCAAAGTCTCAATACTAAAAAAGACTACAATTTGTGTATCATTAATAACAACACCACAAACACATACAACGAAAATGCCTTAAAATAAGCGCAACTGTCCTATAAATTGCTGTGAATCTTATGAAACGGTGCCAAAAGAGGGTCTGCACTGGTATTATGATGGCATCAATTGGATCCATGTCTGACTACCGGATAAAAACATTTAAAAATAGACATAAAAAATTATTGTCATTAAAATGATTTTTAAATAATTGTCATTCAAAAAAAACAGTGCTTAACCTCTTTGCCGATAACTATTATAGAAAGAAWTTTTTTTGTTGACTTAAATTTACATTTTATTTTAGTATTTCATTTGTAGTGACAGTATTTCATTATTTACATTTTTATTTATCTTTGGAAACATTAATATACTTAAAAGCTATATATTAATTTAATTKAAATCATTTTTTAAAATTTTATCATAATTTTTCTATATTTTAGGTAAGATAACAATACTTTTGTGCAATTAATTGAGTTTTCCTATCATTTTTGCAATCATTTGACTATTCATTTAATTGATTTATTAAATCAATAAAAATACTAATCATTTATATTATATATTATTAATATAAAAATATAATTTATAATTTATAAAAAAACTAATTTTAAATATTTGAAACCATTTGTATAAAAATATTTAAGTATTAACTTATAATTAGCTTATATACAAATTTACAAATAAATCTTTTAAAATAATAAAATTATTATTGTGTATTATTTTTTTTAATTTAGACTAAAATTTTAAAATATAAATATCATATTTATTTTAAGTAATTTTAAAACTAAAAATCATTTAATTTTGATATTTTTATTAATTGTCTGACATTTTAAATAACTGTCTGGTTAAACATTTATTTTTATTTTACTATAATAACTGATATTTAAAATGCAAATTTCAGGTAATAAAAAAGTTTAAAAACGTTGTATAGTATAATATATATATATTAATATATAGTCTACATTTATATAAAAAGAGTTAGAGTTAGTGTATAAATAAATAAATATTATAATAAAACAAAAAATATTTGATAATTATTTGTTATAAATCTATTTTATGACTTGAAATTCTGTTTAGCAGCGCTTAAGTTGATTCCTATATGATATGCCTTAACAATTATTATATTCATATACAGTATATATATATATATATATATATATATACCGGCATATAGTTTATATATATATATATATTGTTTATATAATAGTGTAATATATTTTTGGGTGTTTTCTCCTAAAAATAGATATTCACTCTCGAGGTTCACTCCACCCAAACCTTATAGTATTATTATTATACGTGAATCTCATCTTTTTTGTCGTATAGTCAATAAATATCAAGAATATAATGCAAATGTAAACTTCTGTTATGGATATTACCCCTAAAGACATGAAAAACAAATACATATAATAATATCACTCTTTAGTAACTAAAACAATGATTTTGTCGCTAATATTATGGAAAATAGCAGTTTTTGTTTTTTAATTTAATGATAATTTTTTGTAATATAATTATTTTTCATATGTATTGTTTCACATCCATTACGAAAAATTCATTTTATTATAGATATCACAGCAAATAGATAGACACACTTCCTTAGACAAGAACTAATAATATATGGCATATGTTATGCAAATCTTTATTGAATTACAGGCAAAGACAATAAAAGTAAAAATAAGGCAAACAAATGGTTTGAGCAAAAGATAGCCCAAACAATAATTGACTAAAACATCGCTACATTTTATGGTAAAAATGTTTTTTCTGTGTCTAATATTTATGACTTCAAACAGAWACAAAAACACTATGGGTTTAAACCATTGGATTATTAGGCTTAGAGTGAGAGCACCTGTCCTTTGTTTGGTTGGCTATTAAAACACTTTTGTCTGCATTTAATAAGTTTATTACTTAAATCTCGTTTACAAGAGTTTATAAATTAGTTATGTTTTTTKATTTGAGATAATATTTTATTATCTTAATAACACAAATATTGTGCAAAAAAAGATTTATTGGAAATTATTAAATTTGAATTAAAAAATAATTTATATTAATAAGTTTATAATAAATTACAATAATTAGTACTTTTATAGGTAAAAATATATAAATTATTATAGTTTACAGTAAAATACTATAGATTAGTTTTGCATTAACTTAGRTTTTAACGTAAAGTACTGTACAATAACTATTATTACAGGAAATATATTTATGATAACATTTATATTGCAAATATAGTTCACGACTATATATTGATTACGATCTCAAACGTGATCTTCAATTTAATAGACAGTTTAGTCATTTATTTTTCTCTAACTTTGTTTTAAAAAGACTTTTGTTTGTTTTAATCACAACAAGTTATCTGAGTTTTTTGAAATTATATATTATCAGAGAAATGCTATTATTTAAAGGCAATCATARGCTATAATATATATATATATATATATATATACCGGTAATGAACGCCGACCTATCAAACTCTCCGCCTTTTTATTGGACATTAGTTTTGTTTGATTGCAAATAATTTATTGAATTTGTGATAAAACCATACAATAATGTGACACATTTTTATTGATTATCTACTGAACGCCAGTTAAAGAAAAAAATTGTATCATTGGATGGGTTATCGACATTATAGTCAAGACTCAAATATCATTTGTACTTTATATCACAATTCAATTGAATCATCTATTTATTTGCATATTTTGTATATAAATTTTTAAACAATACAATACTCAGAAATATTACAACTAAATAGATATGATATATTATATTTTAAARCGATTGACATTTTATCAAATTAATGATTTTTTTTGTCAGAAATAAATATAAAAATTGTAAGAAGAGTACAAATTCAGCAAAATGTCACTAAAAAAATCATTAATAAAAAGTTCACATAACTGTCGACACAATCTCTCAATTGAGACTTTAGATGTGTTTTTGCAGACTATATATGAAATTAATTGTATTGAATGAATGTACAAATTAATTGTATTATTAATTAATTAATCAATTAGTTTATAATTAAAATTTTCCATTTAATATTAAAATAAATGRAAAGATATAAATTTAATTTTCTAAAGTAAGTTTAGTATTTTTCAAATTTTGTTTGATATCTAAATATTTTATTTGAAATTAATACACAGTTGATAATTATAATTTATTGTTAACTGTCAACAAAAATCTATTTTTAACTGAAAGTTTTGAAATGACATGAAATTTGACTAAATAAAAKTAAAGTTAATTTTTTCATAATATAAATTATAATAAAAGTGTAATTTACAGTATTTTTGTGAAATAATGTTTAATGTCTGCTCATTATGTGTTAAAAAAATGTTGATAAAAATAATATATGAAAAATATATTATTAAAATAGTAGAATTCTCTACAAAAATTGTTTGTACACAAAAAAAAAACGATTGAAATGCACAACAAAAATATAATACATTTTTTAAACAGATAGTGACTGAAACCGATTGACAGTGAAAGTCGTCTTAAAATTGATATTTTGCTTTCAATGAACAAACAATTTTTTAAAAAACTACTTTTCATTTTTGCACTTAAGTTAAGTTAAGAGTTATTTTTTAGTTGTACTCAAAGATATATTTATTAGAGAGAAGTCCAATACTAATGTTATAGTAATAGTTGTAAAGGACTGGTGGTTGTGATAAATCACGTTATATTATGGTCGTCGACATGAAGTGCTATATATATATATACAGTGTATATGTGTTGTTCAGYCCTTATATATAAAGCTGACTAAAAACTTAAAGAATGTTTAGTGGGAAGAGACCGTCGAAAGCACTGGTAGTTCATTGCTAACAACGACATCATTGGCAATGATTGTCACACCATTGGAAACATTGATAAATGTATATAAAATTTGTTTATATATCCAGTACTTCTTGTAATTGGATTTGAGTTCAACTCATGTAATACTATTATATCAATTTAAAGCTAAAACTGTGTCCACAATAATGTCGTTAAGAAAGACAAATATCGATTCAATTCATTGATATATTGGTTTGCTTTGCTTTGAGTGTAAATTCCAATTATATATCAAAAAAAGATAATTAAAAACTTATTTTTGGTTAAACTTATTTCAACATTCTTTTGAAATGAAACAATATTTTTTAATAAATTTTTTTATATAAATCTAAAAAACAATATGAAATATTAATTAATAGTATATATATAAAAAATCTATTATTTTTAAATAAAAGTTTATAACTTTCCATTTCTCAACAATTATTAAATATGCATTAAAATATTCTGTATTTTTTGTATAATTTTCTAAATTGTGATCTACAAAAATTACAATTAGGGTTAAGCAAGGTTTTGGATTTTAGGGTTGTATAGGATGGTCACACAACAAAAAATCTGGGGGTATAGGGGTGCAGACTTTTATTGTATTTTTAAACAATTTTTATAAAATCCAAAATCAAGGAGGGGTCAAGAAAAAATTCTACATTTAAAATTTATTTAATAATTAAAAATACATTAATATATACTGTATATAAACTTTATACTGTAACTGTATAATGATTTAATATCAGTATTTTAGTTATCTTTAAATAATATTCTATTTGTAAAATAATTTATTTTTTAAATAATTGTTAATGTTTTTAGTTACATATTTTGATTTTTTTTAATGTTATGTTTATATAAATATTGACAAAATACTAATTATTTTACTTAATTTTAATTCAATTTTTAATTTAATTTATTATAAAATTGAAAATAATTATATATATATTTTAATTAAAATTTAAAAAATTGTTAATAACATTATTATACACAGTATATATTGTTTTACTAACTTTATTTTAAAATCATATTATAATTGTAATATAATTACTGTTATTTCATCAAATAGTTAATTTTAGTTGCATATTTTGGAGTAAATCCTAAAATCTCATTTTAGTGGGGTATTTTGACCTTATCCCCACCCATTGCTTAACCCTGATTACAATAAATTGATATAAAAAATATCAAAGTTATAAAAAAATATTTTTATAAAAATATATTTTATAATATATAGTTTTATAAATCATAACGGATGAACATTCAAAAAAACATTTTGTTGGTTATTGGATATACTGTACAATTGAATGAATGGGGATAACATAACTTAAGACAAATGTGCTTCAAATAAATTTATATTATAGTTATTTTTTAGTATAAAAATATATATTAGTGTATAACACTATAAAATGTTGTTTATATTRTATATAAACTATTCTCTATAATGAATGTATAACATGTTTCAACAATTCTATAATATAAGTATTTATTTGTTTTTTTTCTCAAAATATCAGTCATTCTAAAAATCAATTCAATGTACAATAGTATATAAATTATATATAATATTAGGTCTTATGTGATATCAATAATAGTGTTACACAAATAGAAATTTTTTGAATTTTTTGAAAAAACAAAAATCTAAAAAAATTTACAATAAAAGTAAATATTTAATTTATAATAAGCTTATTAATAAAATTTTTATAATTCCAATAAAATAAATAGAATAAGAATTTCTTTTATATTTATGAATAATAATTCTAATAATACTATATTTGAATTTAATAATAATTACAAATTTTTGTTACTATACTTTATAGACTATTATTTTAAAATTAAAATGTGTAAAACATTGTAACATGTTTTTATTAAATGTTATAAAAATTGCTGTAAATAATTATATTATACCGGTATATAAGACTAAAAAATATTTATTTAATCGTAAATCTATATTTGATAATTACTTAATTTTTAAAGTAGTTTCTATATTTATATAACATACTATATATTACAGAGTATAGTATAAAAATACGATATTTTATTTTATTATTTGTTTGTATTGTCACAAAATATATGTTTAATAAAATAATTTTTGACAATAACAGTAAATTATAATAGTATTTTCAGTTAGAGACAAAATAAATAAAATATCATTAAATATAAAATATAAATTAATTTTATTATCAAATTAGAAATATTTCATTTATCACAGATCTGTACAATAAAGTTATACATAAAATAACATATGAGATATAATTAAATATTAAAGTCATTATCAAAATTGTAACTTATGATTCATAATTTTTAATGAAATCTTTTGTTGTCTAATCATAAAATTTTAAAATTAATGTAACTAAAAGTTATCTAAACTATAAATTTTGCATTTTTCAATTAAGATAAATTTACAATTGCATTTAATTTAATATGCAAACAATGTTTATAATAAACGTATTACAATCTTCACCAAACAGTTAACAAAACTATATACAGTTTAGTAATTGTTCTATAATTAAATAAATATGTTTTAAAGTTATTGATCCATAAAAATCAATTAAAAGTATACACATGTAATAGCTATAAAAAAAGTATTCATACATTAGTAAAACAAACTCATAAATATAAATTTTACTTATAATTTATGTGTCTTAGCTATAGGTTTTCTAGATATTATTATTATTGATCCATAACAGAAAATTGTTTCATCAATAATAGCTATCATATACAATATATCATAGATATTCGTATAGTAATAATATGCTAAATTATCAGTATATTGTATAATAATAGCATACAGTAAGTGTATTGATATTGTAGTAAAGTATGTCATCAAAAAATATATAACAAGAATAGATGATTAAAATATTATACAATTATTATAGCAAATATTAAATACTATATATAATATACGATAATAAAATACTGTATGTTATATTAATATAAATACATTCAAATGTGAATAAAAGATAACATTCAACGAAACTTAATCTACTGAAAGAGTGAATGACAGAAAGCAACACAAATGCATTTATTTTCATAATATCAATATTTGTGACTTTAATAATAACTATAAAGAGTGGGATCTAAATGTGAGCTTTGATTGCAATACATATAACAGTCAACACATAAAATCATATTTAGATGTTTTGCTTTTTTGAAATCAAATTATTGTGAGTCATGTTTATAGCTAACAAATTTCGGAAACTTTTAAGTGTAAAAATTGGTCGCAAAGTGGAGATTAATAAATTGCAAAATTTATTAAATAAATCGCAAACCTAAATGTATATCACATTTAATATTTTTCAAGAATATTCCTAATATTAATCAAACACTTTTATTCTTATATTATGTAAATTTTTAATAAATAAATAGTTTATTATTAGCATATTTTAAATGTAAATTATAAATTTTACAAGATCATTTATCACTCTCAACTATAAAAAATAAAATTAAAGTTAAAAATGACCAATCAAATTATTATATTTTGACAATATTTACTTTTATATATTGTACTACAAAATCATAAATAAATAAATGTATTATAATATTTTGTTGGATACATAACATTACAAATCACTTTTATATATAATATATTTTTTTCCAGTTTGCCCCAGAAGTCCAAATTTTGAATAATTGTAAAAATGAATAGTTTTTATTTTAATTACATTTTATATTTGCTAAAACTTTTTGACACTAATTATACATATATATAATGTATATATATTTAAAAATTTTCCGATGTTTGGTAATAAAATATATACTGTACTTTAATATCACATATGATATAATAAGCAAATAATATAAAACACACAAAATCATAAAGAATTTGTGATGAGGTTTACAGTTAAAACAAGCGGTGAAAAATCATATTGACTTTTGAATTATACTTTATAATACAGTATAATATAATACATTTACACTGTTGTGTTGTATTTTTGAAATATATTAAAAAAAAACAGAAATCTTTAACTATGTAATGACTCAGTTGAGTGTTGGTGTGTGTATGTATGTATGTGTGTGTGTGTGTATCTGTGTGTATGTATGTGTGTGTGTGTGTGTGTGTGTGTGTGTGTGTGTGTGTGAGGGATGACTCAAACTTGTGAATCATTCATATTATGTTAACTCGTCATTCAAAAGGAGTTTTTTGAACTTAACTTTTAAGCCGTCGACTAATAATACGGAACGAATCGATAGGTTTTCGCTTAAATCACTTTCTCTTTCATATTTGGATTATAATAGTGTATATAAAAGTATGATTATATGTATCATTTGGTTTTAGTTTGTTTTATGTCAGTATTTGCCTTAATTATTGATAAAATTGCAAATACGGCTCAAAAACTAATTAGGTTTCCATTTGCTTGTGTTTCCAATTACTCTTTAATTTATATAACTTTTGTTATATTGTGTTATATTGATTGACACATAAATTAGTCTCTCTTTTGATAAATTTTTATCATCCAATATAATAAACAACAATCATTTAGTACTATTTATATTGTTGTTAACTATCAAATTATAGCATACAAATGCATATATCAATAAAATGAAATAAAATGAGTTATAGAAAATGAAAAATAGTTTTCAAGTTGCATCCAATGTTATATTAATAATTTATATATTGTGCATAATATATATACAAAATGTTAATTTTACAAACAATGTTATATTTTTTACATAACATAAATTGTATGTCAAATAATATGATAAATAGCAACAAAATGATATGATTTAGCAACAAATATATATGAAAATAGTAATAATTATAATGAATGAGCTGTCCTTTCAGTTATTAGTCATATGTTCAGTATATCATAGTATCGATAAAATTAAATTATAAATATGATTAAAGTAAATACTTTATATGAAAAACTATCGCTAAAATCCAATTATTATTTTTTCGTACTGTACTTATCAGATATCAATGAAAATGCAGACAAAATATATTACATAATTTGCTCTCATTGCCATAATATCCGGCGATCTATCCCTCCATCACTTCATCCTTATTCATCTCTCTCTCTCTCTCTCTCTCTCTCTCTATTTTTATAAGTTTTTTAGATATTTATAGCTACTCTCAATAATTCATTGAAGCATTCATTGCCAAACAATGATGAGTATTAAGCAAAGGGCAGTCCCTCACGACTATGTGTATATAGTTTCTGTGGTCTACTGGTGCTGGGGTTCAGCCTATTGTATTGTATTGAATAATATGAGAGATGAGATTGCATGTGCTGTTGAGCTCCACAAATATATCCGGAGCACAACACATACAAACACATATTTGACTCCTTGATAAGTCATATCCAATATATATAGACATATACCACACAACACACATAACTGTAACCGTATTTTTTCCCCTAAAAGCCGCCAAATGACAGGCAATGGTGAGAGAGAGAGAGAGAGAGTCGGCTATTATATTAGTTTGTGTGACAGTAGAGTATCAGTTGAATGCATAGTATATATAATACAGGACTCACAGCAAAAAAGTTTAAGTTTGACGGAGAGCTCAACCGAAATGTACGCGTGTCTGCTGTGGCAGGCATTGGACGAACACAACCAGTCCTAACACTCAGTTGGCTTCCAGATGTTCGTGTGCTGAGAGAGCCCATCACTGTTTGATTAGAAAGAAAATCTCTACGATCTGTGTCTGTAATAACTAAAATGCGACCAAATGTCTGAAATCTTATTAAAACAAGTTATGAAAAGAAAGCAAATGTGYTAAAAGAGTCATTACTTTTAATCGACCGGAAGATATGGCCAAAGGAAGTGTCACTTCACTGATAATACAAATATTGTTATTCAAGTGCTTGACTCTTGACAATTGTGTGGCCCGCAGATCATCACCGGTATTCTCGGCTTCWCTTCCCGGCAGATGTCCATCGCCTCCGTGTGAATGTGCGGCCGACGAATTCAACCGCAAACGGGTTATCTGTTCTGCGGGAGGTTTGACAGGAATTCCCGTCGAAAAAATGGATAAAGAAATTCAAGTGAGTTCTGCTCTTTGATCTTATCTTTAAGTTTTTTTATAATTATAAAATCTATTTCATTATATTCATTATATAATTTATATTATAATAAACTCTTGAAAATAAAGTATTTATTTACATAAGTAGTTTCAAAATTTTTTTATATGAATTATAAAAATAAATGAAATTTTTACTAATAATAAACTTTGCTGTATAACTATTTAGTCAAATTGGATATTTAAAAAGATATATTAAATAAATTATAACAAAATAAATCTTTTCTATAAAGTATATAAGAATAATAAATATAACTTTTACTTTTTAATATTATTATGATATAATATTGTTACATAAAAAACATTGAAATGACAAAAAATTGATTTAATTTAGACAATCTATTTATACTTAATTRTATAAATAATGGTTTATTGTTATATTATACATAATATAATGTTAACAATTAGTTTTTCTTTTCATTTATTAAATCAAATAAAATCTATATAATTATTTAAAATTTCATGTTATATTAAAAATCACATAATAATACTGTATATCAAATAAAATATTTTTTTTAAAAACATTAGTTTTTTCTTACTTACCAAATGACATATGATATGTAAAATATAGTATTTGTTTGTTTAACTAATGGATGAGGTGTTGAAACTAGTGTTATGTCATTTTTATTCAATAATGTTGATTATTGTCCATCGATTCTTATACAATACGGGACGGGATGACATAAAATCTTGTTTGACAACACTAGTAATATTAGTTTTGTAAAAACAATCAAACATTTACTTTACATATAGTATTTGAATAAATATTTTGTTTGAAAACAATACTTAAATAAAATATGAAAATATCAATAATAAAACTTTATAATATAATATAGTTATATAATAATATAATTATATTTTAAGATGATTATMTAATTTTTAAAAAAATATAACATAATATGTAGTACAAATATGATGTACAATAAAAATATGTAATAAAATTTAAAAATTAAACTAAACATTTTAGAAATAAATTTCAAAATAATTTATTTATATCAAAATATTTAATATGTAATAAAATATATTAATAAATTTTTATTAATATTATGTTAGATTTTATAAACATTATTAAAAGTAATAGAAATAATAAAAAACTTCATAAACCTAAGGTTAATAAACTAAAATCGAAAAAATAAATCTTTTTATTATTTATTATTATGCTATTTTTGAAAATTTTTTTTTGAAAATTTAATTTTGTTATATTTCAAATAAAATTCAAGAATCATTTGTGATTAAAAAAAAATTTTTTTTTGTCAAACCTATAGTTAAATATTTTTACTTTTTTATTTAAATGTCATACATTAAAAAATATAAATTAAATTTATTAATTTTATTTTTATTATAAACTATATTTATATTAAACTAACCAACACAATATAATACTGTATAATCAAGTAATAATCAAAGTCCTATTCATAGATAAAACTTTACTTTAGATTTTAGTTTTCAAACAAATAAATTATTTTCCTTCCCTCTATCGTTAAAAACAAAAAAGATTTTAAAGATATTTCTAAACTTAAAATTAAGAGATTTTTTGCATCAGTTTGTTTAGGTATAAATAAAAAATTATATTAATTTAATTAAAAATTATAATAAATTAGATGATAATTTTTAATTATTACATTGCATCGCATTTGTAAAATGTATAAAAACTTTAGATTTTTATTACATATACTATTGATATTTTACACAAAGATTTTATATTTTCAGAAATTTGTTAGTTATGTTACAATTTCATCATTTTATAAATACAATAAATTATATATTAAATAGTGATTTATTAAGTTATACTGTACAAGATAATTTAAAATTAAAAAAAATGATTATTTATTTATTAACAATCTAAATGATTTACAAATAGATAAATTATTATTTATGTTTGATATTTTTGTTAAACAACTTAAATTAACTCATAGTTAAATTACTAAAGAATATACAGAGTTCTAATTTATTTATTTAATTGATTAATAATAACTATTAATTATTCATATGTTTGAGTAAAGTGAATTTTTAATTAAATAAAAAAAATTATTTAGATAAAAATTTAATATTTTAATTTTAAGTATTTTAAATTATCAATAATTATTTTTAACTAACGAAATATTGGTGTTATATATATATATATTTTGATTTAATACTGTTTATTTATTCTATTATTATAATACTATTTATTCAGTACATATAATTAAATAAATACAAAATACTGCATAATATAATTTTGAAATATGTGTTATCTTAATAAGTTAAATTATATATCTGAAATTTTAATACAATTTGCTAAAAAAACTGTCAAAAATGTTAACATTATATATATTTTGATTGCATAACAGGTACTTAACATAACAGCCCCCGAAAGTAATGCCAATAAGATAGCGTTGGGCCGAATATTTCTGGAGTTACACCAATTAGAAGAAGTGCACATTACGTACAGTAATCTACCGGCAATTGGCGACTCATCCTTCTGGCCGGGAAAGGCACTCAAACTACTCAATCTAAGTCATAACAGTATTAGTATCGTAAGAGACAACGATTTCAATCAATTAAACAATTTGCTGACACTCGACCTGAGCGACAATCATCTGTCTCGGGCACCGTCGGCTGCGTTTCGCTATTTGACAAATTTAACGACACTATCGTTGGCCAGAAATCGATTTACAAAACTAGTTCCGCGATTATTCTTTAAGCTCGATAATCTTCAAGTGCTAGATCTCAGCGGTAATCCATTGCGGGAAATATATGCCGACGACTTCAAAGATATAAAAAATCTAACGGTTCTTAATTTGTCGAAATGTCTGTTAGAGAAAATGCATTCTCTCGTATATAAAGGTCTTCCAAACCTAACATATCTCGACTTAAGTTATAATCAATTTGTTTATTTGGCGTCAAATGAGTTCAATTTATTGGTAAAATTAAAAGTGCTTCTTCTTAATGGAAACCGATTATCAGTACTATTGGACAATACGTTCAGTGGTCTTCACGGACTCGACTTTTTGAATCTGTCATCCAATCAGATAAATGCCATCTATTCGTGCACTTTCTGCAACTCAAGCGTTACATCACTGGACATCTCAGACAATAAGTTTACGTCATTTCAGACCAAAATTCTTGAGCCGTTATCTGATTCATTAAGACAACTGACTGCTAACGAAAATCGACAATTAATTGATTCGACAACAAGTGTGGCATATCTGATACAACCGCTTAAGAGGTTAAATCATTTGTCACTTGCATTCAATTCATTGGATGATACCCTCATTGACTCCACTTTTTATAATTTGGATTCATTGTTATCATTGAATCTTACGTACAATAAGTTTGCAAACATAAGCGCCCGTCTCTTCCATCCACTAATTAATCTAAAATCATTGGATTTATCGCATAATCAGATCTATGGATTGGGATATCAACAGTTTGCTCAAATCAATGCATTGTCCAAACTGGAGGCCATCTACTTAAACGACAATCCCTGGTCTTGTTTTAGATGTCATATAATGCCAGCCATGGAATGGATCGATAGTTCTCCCACCGCTTACTTCAATGTATGCCATCGTTACTCTAAAGAAGTGTCTCGTCTTCAGCATTGTATAAAGTGTTTGTCACCATTACAACTATCCTCAAGATATTTACATTTACTCAATCAGTTTGATCTCGAGTGGTGTATTGATCCAAATGTTCAATTAAGACTCACTGCTTCAGAGCCACAAATTGGACTAATTTTAGCCATTTTTATAATCATGTCATTAGTTTTTATTATAATTGCAGTGATTGTCTTCTATAGAAAACAAGGAGCAGTTTATTATACACACGAAGACGATCTGTTTATTGATGAAAAGATACCGGTGCCACAAGTATTCAGTGTAGCCGCACATACATCAGTCAAACAACCCATCCATTCTTACATGCAGTCACCACAACCACCTCCACCACCACCACCGCCGCCTTCATCACATTTCCCGCCATCGCAATCATCAGCTGTTCCTCATTGTAAATCACATCAACCATCACTACATTCATCACCATCAATGAGTCCATCATTAACTTCAAAACCAGACTCACCAAAAGCTGGTCCATCATCGATACCTCCATCAGTGATTCCGGTGGTTGTAATGGACACAAACGGTGCTCCAGAGAGACCAATATTATCGTCACAACCAATGACTACAACAACTATGAGAATAATACGACCAAAAGTTCAAATATATATTTAAATTCATTGTTTTAATTGTATCGATATTTTAAAATATTGATTAATACTAACTTTATATATTAATACATGTTTCTTAAAAATATATAAACTTTTAAATTTATTAATTAGTTAATGTGTTTTTATATCAAAATATAATACACAGTATAATACTTTTATTGAGTTTATTTATTATTACTGAGTTTTATATTATTTATATTTAATAATTTTATATTTACTTAATTTTTATCATATGATATTAGTTTATCATTGTATTTATACTGTAATTTTAAAACTTGTATTATTTTTACTGTAAATTATGACCAATTATTGTAATTCTAGCAAATTTTTAAATAAAATAATTTAATTTTGTCTATTTATGATTATTTTAGTCTAAAATATTTACATTTACAAAATTATATTCTAAGTATATATAAAAATAATAATTGTTTAACAAAGTTATTGTTGCATAAATTTTAATTATAACTTTTAATTAATTACTCATTTAAAAAATAATTAGCATTTTTTGGTAAATTTCTGATTTGTGTTATAAAGTAATTAAATTGTATTTTATACAATATAATAATCAAAATAATTACTAAAAATAATAATAATAATATCATTGCTGATTAATGAGATATACTTAACACCTACATTATTTCAAAATACAAAAAACATTTAGGCAAACAAACTRAAAGCTGTTTATAGTAAAAGATTAACAGATTTATATAAATTGGTCACAAAATATATGACACAAAAAACTGTTGCCTCGTATTGATTCAAATTTTATTGATTTATTATTATATTGAAAAATCATTTTGGACTTCAACGCTAAGGTTTTTACTACATTAATGTACTGTACTGTATACTGCAGTGTAAGTAATGTTACTGTACTAATGTATAATCATTTAGTAATACTATTTAAATAGTATTTTGAAAAATAATGTGAATATTAAAAAATGATTTTTGATAAATAGTTTGATAAATGTTTTAAAATTTTGTCTGAAAGTTAGAGACACGACTTACATAATAAAAAATACTATTTAAAACTAAAAAAATTATTTACACCCTTACGTCTATAAAATTATTAAATATTTATATTATATAATATGATCGCTTATATTACTTTAAAATCCTCCGACTTTTCTATATAAAAATGAACTTTGATTTTCAACTAATTTCTTAACTGATTTTTATCGTTAAAACCAATTTTTTGCCAATGAATTAAAATAATTGTTGTTTAATATAATTGCACCGAAAATTGACTTAAATAAGAGGTTTTTATACTCAATAATAATCTGTTATTAATAGTGAGTGAGTGAGTGAGAGAGAGAGAGAGAGAGAGAGAGAGAGAGAGAGAGAGAGAGAGAGATCGTATTTCTCAATGTTTTTTAAATTTAATTAATAGCGTAAARAAACTATAATAAAATTATACGAGTAATTTATTAAAAGTATTTTATATTTATAAACTATATAAGTAAATGTATGAAGCGATAGTTCATAAATGAAAAAATCATTTGCAATTAAACACAATTAATATTAAATATATATTTATAATTATTTGTCAATCAATTGTTTCATAAAACTTATCTCAATGTCTTTTATAATATTTATAACATTTATAATAATGTTTTGTGAAATAACAGAATGTGTTTGTATAGGAATTAAACGTTTTTCAGTTCACAAATACTTTCTATTTGAATGTCTTTTTTCGTTATCTTAGTTTTTGTCGTAATGTTTACTCAATGTAAGCAAAATAAAAATTTTATTTATTAATAGTATACCGTATATACTAAATACATATAAAATGTATATATAGAATAAGTCTAACATTTTAGATAATAAATAAGTATATAAAGAAAAATGAATATAATATAGTACTGTACTGTATCTAAAACATGAATATTGCGGTTACCATATGTTTAAAGTTGTTTTTTGAAATTTATGAACCAATATTACTAATTAAAAGTATATAAAATGCAATACAATAGATATTAAGTATTGAATGTTTACAAGTATTTTGGGGAACTTTGTTATATCTTATTAGACATTGGATCAGACTATAAAAAAGCTTAATTAATTTTTATAAATATCTAATTAATATATTGAACTATTGATATTATTATTATTTGTATTCTCATTAAATAGAGGTAAAATTTTATAATAAAAAAATAGTAACTAACAAATAAAATACTAGTGTTATATTATCAACAACAAAAATTGCAATATCATATGTAAATTTATTTATTTCATGACATAACTAAATATTTTTCCCATCAAATTAAATAAAAAAAATAATATTAACTATTACTGATTTTAATCTATTTTAATCATAGAATATCAATTCAATTGCCATGTATTGGGTTACTGTCTGATTTGCATCAGTAGACTCTTTATAGACGCCAAATATAATAGTTTATATATATATTTTTAATTTGAAGTTACAAAAATGTTTGCATACTTTTGTACACATAGATGAGTATTGACTGTTTACTACAGTATTAGACAAATTAGACTATTCGTTAATATTATATTAGACAAAAGTATTGAAAATAAAATTATTTGCATTTTTGCACTCATTTGCCGCCAAATATTGTAAGTATCAAACGTCAAATACCGGTACAGTATTTTTGCAGACTTTAAATAAAAAATAGTATTCATCTATAACTTAATATTCAATATAAGGAATTGTTTTACATATAGTATAATATTTAAATGTTTCAAAAAAATTAATGCACAGGAAATGATTTTTTAAGAGTAGCTATTAATGTCAGTTTAGCTCAATATTCGTGTCTGTGTTGAGTCAAATAAAAATTGTTTAATTTAAATATAAACAAAATATTTATATTTTTTGGTAAATTTTTATAGTTATAGAAAATAACAGAATCTTTTAACAGAATTGGTTTATAATTTTAATCGTTTTGGAAAATTATGTCAAATTTGGCATCTTATGAGTCATTCATCTGTTTGTTTAGCTATTTATGACTAAATATTGAACATTATATTAATTATAGAGAGTGAGAGAGAGAGAGAGAGAGAGAGAGAGAGAGAGAGAGAGAGAGAGAGAGAGAGAGAGCAAAAGTAAGTGAGAGATAAACCACATGACAGGAGGTCCCAGTTTGGGACTTAATTCTTGAACTATTTTAAAAGTTAATCTATTATTAAGACTATTTAAGACTATAAAAGGATTAAATTAGTGAAATGACTAATAATATTTTGATACTATAATATTATAAATTATATTTATATTTCATTTTTTACCGGTCAATAAAATATTTTTTAAACAACTATTATTATTAAAATTATGTAAATTTAATTGTTTTATCCACATATACAGTATAAGTTGTATAATGGCATACAACACAACGCAGAAAATAATAATTCAAATTAGTTGATATACAGTATAGAGACGTATTGATAAATTACTTAATATAATAGATTGAAAGAGAGATAACATTTTATTTTTCATTTAACATCTCTTCAATGAATGATATGATAAGAAAATAATTTAATAATATATATTGAATAAAATGTCATAAACCAAAATGTATTTTTCAATATTTATTAATTTATTATTATATTTTAGTTAAAATGTCATTGTATTAATTTATTATTTTAATGGTAAAACATATCAAAATATCTAATATTGTAAAATATATAATCGTCCATATAAATTATAATTAGCTTAATTAGTTACTAAGTTTATAAAAATCATTTTTAATAAATGACAAAAAAAATTAATTTTATTTTAAAAAAGTAATATTTATAGGATATATTAATCACATTTTAAAACTGTGATTGAATGGTATGTCCCAGAGATATGTTATCTAATGGTATGGGGTTTGTCCTCAATATGAGTGTTCATCTGTAAGTGAGGTGAGTGGCACCAGTTCGCTAACGGTGACGGGCGATGAATAACTAGACATATCACTGCCGGCAACTGGACTGACATTTATTGAATCGTTGGGTGAGAAAGAGTTAGACATATTGGACGACCCGATGGAGTTGTGGTGAGCCATCGGTGGTGACAAATGATGTGTTTCGTGTGGATGTGTTATCATATCGCCATTTGTATTGCTATAATAACCAGATATTGGGTATTGATATAATGATTGCATACTCAACGGTGCAATTCCCGCAAAGTTTGGATAACTGCGCGCCGATACTATAGGTGTCGAGCTCTGGGGTCCAATGTATGTTTGAGCCGTAACACCTCCATATGCCATCTTAAGTGGTATTGAATAGGGAGCCAACTGTTGCACTGTTGTTGGTTGTGGTGTCTGACCGTTAGTTGTTTGTGATTGTTGTTTAGGTTTACGTTTGCGAGTCTGAATTGAGTCCTTCTTCATAGTTATCGGACGATTAACGTTATGAAGTTTATAATATAAACCACAGGCGTTACACACCGGCTCTCCTAAGCTATTGCGTCGCCATAAGGATGTGTTGGTTGCGGAACAGTTAGAACACGACAGTCCTGAACGTCTTGACTGTGTCTATAATAAACGACAGACATATAAAAATAAAGATATGGTTTAAGTGCCGCAACAAGTGGTTAGAGATATACAGGAAAATTGAAAAACTGACGAAAGTTATATCACTTAAAAGTTTTAAGTAAATATATACAGAATTATATGTATAAAGTAATAGATTTGTTTTAAAGTGTATTATAACATAAAAATTAGTAAAAAAATTTGTTTATATAACGAAAGCATAATATGTTTATTGCTTACAGTTAGCCGCCTTTGATTTTTGACAAGAGGTCTATTATTTCCATTCATTTTGTGATAGAGACCACAAGCGTTGCACAGATAATGTCCGGTCCCATCCCTGCGCCACAATGGGGTAGAAATGGCCCCTTTTGTGGAATAATTTAAGTCAACTTTAAAAAATTGTTAGAAATCGGTGCGATATAAGCGTTAGGTTTCATTAAAATTATTGATTGCATGCATTGTTATGCTTACCACAATTGACACACTCCCGGCCCTCAGTGGGCGAGAATAGATCGGGTATTCCTGTCTCACATCCAGAGTTGCTTCGCTTGTGATTGATCTGTGGCTGAATGGTTGCCGTCCTGATCACCATTTGTTGGTTTTGATGGTGTTGTTGTTGTTGTTGATGATGATGWTGTGTTGTTGGTGGTGGTGTTGTGGCGGTGGAGGACTGTGTTCTGGACTGTGCTGTTCCTCCACTTTGACGATGTGGTCATAATTGATATATTGGTCGGCTGAGTGGACCACACTTATCATATTACTGACAGTGACCGGAATAGGCGATGTAGTTGTCGGCGGCGCACTGGTAGGTGTTGATGAAATGGGTATATCGTTGTTGATATTATGGCTTGAATGCGATTCATACCAATTAATCATATTTTTTGATGTATAATATGAGTACAGAGCGAAACTAAAAGCGATTTTCAAATGATATGAAACACGATTTGAATGTTTGGTGTGAGAGGTTTGCGATGAAAATCAGTTGTTTGAGACTTTGAACTTTGCCTTTTAACGGGACTGGGATTGGGATGGGTTGACACCTACTCGACCAACAAACAAGTTCATCACTTGACTATTCAATCATATGTGGACTGTATTGTCCATTACATATATATGCAACTAATAAAAGTATAGGCACTTTGGGCACTAAGGGATTAAATACTTGAAAACTATTTCTCACTCTCTTTCTCTATACTTATTACTATTGAAAAGTTATTACTATTTTGTAAGCTATGATCTGAGGCAGTGATTAACTATTGATCACAAGTTAGTGTTTTCAACTAAAGCTCAACCACTAAACAGTCTCTCTTAAGAAAAACTTTAGACTGAAGTTTCAATGCTATACAAGTAATACAACTAAAATACATATATTTTCTATCAATATATGACAAATTGTCCTATACGTACATACATACACACACACACACACACACACACACACACACACACACACACACACACACACATGCATATATATACTGTATTTATATACACATACATAACCATACATTCACACACTCAATCTACAGTATATTATGTAACATTTATAGCTCTTATCTAACACACACTTGGCTTAAACAACAGCACACACTATGATTGCCTACAATGTCCTGACTGTTAAATGCTGTCTAAATGAGTGTCTGTTTCTTTCATCTTAAAAGACAAATTCAAGACAACCTTAAGGTCTGGTAGTGTTCCTAACGGTCCTCAAACACCATACAAACACCTCTTTATTATGACAGATCAATAGTTGAGAATAGACTACAGTATATGAAGTTTATTAATATACGAAATAATTTTTATATTAAACAGATATCCTTTAAAGAAAATTTTAAAAACTTATTTGAGTAACAATTTAACACTTAATATCTAATAAAAAATTATTATTGATAGTTATTTTATATGCAATTAATRTTATTTGTAATATATATATATATACCGTATATTGGGGTGCATCTTAATAAAGCACAACACTTAAGGTTTGAAAAGCAATTAACAAATTTCAATAAATTAATAATGTCTTTACGTGAATGTATGCCAATTACACAATAATCTAATCTAGACTATAGGTTATATTGATAAACAATAGTGCAAATAAACCTCCAATAAGATACAATAGTCAACAAGCTAAGTTTCTAATAAATATATATTTTTTATATTATTTTAGCTGTATCTTAAAATCATTATCATATACTATATTATACAGTATATTATCTGTTCTAAAACATATTAATTTGTATCAATTAATATCAAATTAAATTACATTACATAAAAAAACAAATTTTTGTTTGTCTCACCTGATTTTGGGGATATACACTACACTAATATATCATATATATATATATATATATATATATATATATATATATATATCGATAGACAATCATATGTTTATTCCGATTATTTTAATTGACTACAACTTGGTATCAAAAAACAGAATTTACTACTATTTCATTAATACTACGAGTGATAGGAATACTGGATGTGATATTTTATGTGCGATTATTCATTGTTTTGTTTATATTATTATTTGATATATTAAATATTATTTTTCTAAACAATTAAAAATTATAGTATAAATATTTAATATTTATTAAGATTTTTTTTATTTGTTTGTTAACTAATCACTTATAATTGAAAATAAACCTAATTGCTATATACAGTACATATAACAATTTTGTGTTATCTAATATATATATATATATATATATATATTAAAAAAAGTAAACTTTCCTAGAAAATATAATCAACGTCAAACCAAATGTTAATCAATAATAAAGTATATCTATTTCTCTAGTGATATGGCATTTTGTAATAATTTTATTTCATAAATAAGTCAATTATTTTTATATTTCTTATCAATAATTATTTGTTTGAGTGAGAGATGTTAAGTGAAATAATAAATGTTTTTATCAATTTGTGAATCTTTAATAACCTATCACTAGGTTGTCATTATAACATTTATAAAAGTTACTACTAATAATAAACTTGTAATTAACTATAGTAATATTTTATATTTAAAAACTAATGATTTGAAATAATTGAGAAAATATTATTGTTTTTTAACGGAAAGTTTGAATATGATTTTTGTTTAATAAATAAATATATATATATATATATATATATATCATTTACTCAATTGTCACTATAATATATGTGTTGTTTTCCTCTTTTTAATGTCCTGCCTATTGATCTAACCTTTGATCCGTCAAATTTTTGTCTCGACTTATATGATGTACAGTCATGTGCTTAACTAATCTATTGTCAAAACTATTGAATCCCTGACTTATTTAAACAAATGACTCATAAATCGGTAAAATTTATAAAAATTTCAATTCCCAAGTCTTATGGGAATAGCATCACAACACTACTGTTAAATTGTATTGAAGGCTAATAATAATGTATTAATATTTGTGACAAAACAAAAGATTTTTGTTTGTCTACAAACATATTGTTGGACTGTATTTCATGTTTTGACATATTTTTCGTGTGGTTTTGGATTTCCAAATAATTTTTGCAAACCAACATAACTAATACTATTAATACTATTAATAGGGTTATAATTTATAACCAAATTTAGTACTTATTCTGTACTTATTTATATATGTATACATTTACCATTATTGCATATACCGTATTTGATTGCATGTATAGAAAATACAATAAATAATTCAAATAACCTAAAGATTTTTCACTATTTTGCCAATTGATATTAAACTGCTATTACATATTTCATATTTATAAAATTTATATAGTATTACAATATATTGTAATAAATATAAGTTTATAATGTATATTATATTTAGTAATACTTATATAACGCTGTATTGAACTTAAAAACAGTTAGAAATACAAGCAATGATAGGCATTGGTAGTGTTGCAAAGGATCTGTTTTTATCACTTAAAAATCTCCCGGTGCTTACTATTACTGTTCCTTATTAATTGCCTTAATTTTTTTTTTGCTAATTTCCGTTCATTTAAATTTTAATACAAGTCTTGACTATTTTCTAGTATCAAATTTTCTCTGTATTTTTTAAAGTTTATTAGTTTATTAAGAATAAGCAATTTATGAGAAATTGTAGACATGTTTTCAATCAAGTCTTAATGTGTTTTAGAAATTCCGGTTAAATAATATATTTGAAAACAAATTTTTGCATTAATTTGCAAAATAAAATACATTTATATAAAATGATATTAATATTCTGTGATATTTTGAACTCAATATATATATATATATATATATATATATTTATATATTTGGTTGGTTACTATCTGTCTAATGGTGTGATCACCACATTTGATATAATAAAATATATTCATTGAATGAGATCCAAAAAATGTTAGTCAAATGTATATACAATGACATCGACTGTAAAGAAAAGCAGTTTTATTGATTGGCTGATTGGCCATCAAATCATTGCTTTTATATAATAATATACACTTTAATGTAATAATTAACAGTTGTTTTAATCCATTTGGTATTACATATAACTAATTAAATAAAAAATTGATGAGATATCATACATTATTCAAGTAATAATAATATATTGTTGACTAAAACTTGAAATAAATGTTTGCTTTGATAAATATTTTATATAATTTAAAAATTTATTATAAAGTATTAACCTTAACTATTATAAGATCATTTGATATATCTATTCATTAAAATTCATTATTTTTATTTTCTAAAGTATTAAACATTTAGATAATTTAATAAAGATTAATAATTAATTATTAACAAAGTAAAATAACATTTCAAAATAAACTATATTTAATATAAACATATCAGCTACCTATAAATATATTATATTATTATACCTGTATGAATTTATATTATTAATAGTTATATTCTAATATGTAATAGTACTGTATGTAAATTATATGTAAGCTTAATGTGTAGAATCTAGTGTCAGATTTTATAGTAAAAAAATATACAATATATTATATATTTAAAGTGTGAAAAATTATGAAAAATATATTTAAAATAATATATTTATTATAAATTTCATTATTCTGTAAAATATTATGATATATATATATATATATATATATATATATATATACTGTATATATATAGTTGAATTGTAATCAAATACTTTAATACTGTACTGTAGTTAACATTACAATATGTATTACAATTTATTATAAAAATTTTGTAATTTAGAGTACATATAATACAACTACAAGTACTGTAACAGTAGTTTAGTAACAACGCTACAAATGCAATGACTGTACGCTCCCTATTGTGTGCCAAACAAACTGAAAACAAAATTGTTTGCAATAATTGATTACAATATTTGTCACACAATTAGCAGTTTATTAATCAATTGAATTGAATTGAATTAGTGGTCGAAATGAAGTTTGTAAGTATTGACACCTATTTGTGTCGATTTACATACACGTRTTGCACGTGTTTTATAAGACATGCTTTTGAATGTTACGTTTATTTTGACCGACAGATAAGTTTATCGGGAAATGCGTGCAAACCGTGTAATGCAATCAAATTCAAGTCAACACTTGTTATGCTTGACTGCGCTCTCGACACCACTACTAGTATGGCTTTCCTCCCGTTACCACTCGTCCACAGGTATTACACACACACACACACCGATTATCTCATGTTTTAATTGATTTATTGTCATTGACAGCAATCACTTGTCATCGCTTCCCAATTGGACACCGAAGGACGTGAAAGATCCGCAACTCGAGAATGTAATGCAAGAAGACTTTAGTTATCTTAATAATAATCACTATTTATGTCTTAAAACAGGAATTCAAAGAGTGTTGCGGTCGTGTCTTCATTGATAGTGCGCCCGAGTTTTGCATACCAGAGGTACATATATATGATTGCACCGATATTTTGACAAAAACAGTTGTTTTTTGCTAATAGACATCAACCATAAACTTGAAGCACGTGGATGTCATCCTAATATCAAATTATCAGTCGATGTTAGCCTTGCCATACATTACTGAGAGAACTGAATTTAAAGGTATAGTTTACGCCACAGAACCGACGCTACAGATCGCCACCCAATATATGGAAGAAATTGTTAAATACATTGAAAGGACACCCAAATCAAAACAGGCGTCGCTCTGGAAGAAGAATTATAAACATATTCCTCTAGTTGTCAATGTGGACACCGCTCACAATAGTAAACCTATTTTATGGCAACAAATGTATTCAACGAAGGAGTTCAACAATTCATTAGCCAAAGTCAAAGTGATTGGATTTTCTGAACAAATTGTATGAGATTTTTAAGATTTAAAAAAATATTATTTTGTAATTTCTGAATTTGATATTAAAGGATATATTTGGTTCATTACACGCTCAACCCATGAGTGCTGGTTATTGTATTGGTTCCTGCAATTGGACTATTAGTAGTAATCACGAAAAGATTGTTTATTTGTCTAATTCATCGACTCTAACAACTCATCCGAAACCCATGGATCACATCCCACTACGAAATGCTGATGTTTTAATATTAAATAATTTGAGTCAAACACCACACGTTAATCCAGATTCAATGTTAGGAGAATTTTGCATTAATATAGGTATTACACAGATATTATGTGTATTTAAATTATTAATTATTTTTGTAAATCAATTAATATATAGGAAAAGCTCTTCAAATTGGTGGCAATGTATTGATTCCATGTTATTCTTCAGGAGTTATCTATGATCTGTTTGAGTGTTTGGCACTACATTTAGAGCAAAGCGGACACCTATCAGTTCCCATGTATTTTGTTTCGCCAGTAGCTGAACACTCATTAGCCTACTCTAACATATTAGCCGAATGGTTAACAAGCAATAAACAATCGCGTGTTTACATTCCTGAAGGTTAGACATTAGAGATAATTACAATTTTTAGTTAAATAGTATTAAGTGTTAAATAACTAAATTAATATTTAAAATTATTTTTAGAGCCATTTCCTCACGCAGCACTAGTACGCGGAGGAAGACTCAAACATTTTAAAAGTATTAGTCTCGACTCATTCAATACCGAATTTAAAACTCCATGTATTGTATTCACTGGTCACCCGTCCTTACGTTTTGGTGATGTCGTCCATTTGATTGAGTTGTGGGGCAATTCTTCCAACAATCTAATTGTATTTACCGGTTAGTATCGCATTTATTAAATTTAATTACCGATACAACTATTATAATTTATTTATTTTCTTAGAACCTGACTTTCCATATATGGAAGCACTGGCCCCATATCAGCCCTTACAGATGCGTGTTGTCTACTGTCCAATTGATACGAGTCTTAACTTTTCTCAAGCAAATAAATTGTTACGCGATTTAAGACCCAAGAATTTAATTATACCTCAATGTTATACAACTCCTCCACCATTTCTTAAGCACAGAACAGATCTGGTGATTGATTGCGAGGCAACCATTTTCTCGTATAAACGAAATAATGTCATTAAATTACCGCTTAAACGATCATTTGAACGAATCGATATTGACTCTGATGTAAATTTTGATACAAATATTTGCTATTATTTTTATATTTATTATAMATTTAAAACTGTTATCATTTACTAATATCATTTAGTTGGCATCAAATTTACTGCCAGTACAAGTACGTCCAGGCGTTAGCATCGCAACTGTCACCGGATCTTTATTAGCCAAAGATAACAAATTTAAACTACAAGTATTGTCTAAATCACAAATACATGAGTTGTCCAGTGAATCGCCAACGCATACATTACCACCCGTTCACTATACTTGGGGTTCAATCGATTTGCAACTATTTATGTCATTATTATCAAAGGCTGGTATATATGACGCTGTGATCGACCAAAATTCAAACGGATGTGTAGTTCATATCGTAAGTGCGCTATCATTATCTGTATATTACAATCTATTATAATATATAGTGATTTTAATATCTGACGTATTAGTTTAAAAATGTTTTTAAATACTTTAAGTAATTTGATATACGGTTTAAGTAATAATAATTATATATATTGTAAATTCATTGAGGCCTATCAACATATTATAAATTTATTGCTTGAAAAATATTTTTATTATAATAACATTTTTATTACACAAAAGACATTATAACTTATTTTAAGTTTAATCTTTTAATCGTAGAAGTGTTAAGTACTGTAGTCCTAATTTTATCATTGATGTTATTGTGTTAAATTATTAATTTTTACATTACTTTTTATTGGATAAATCACGATAAATAATTATTTTTATTTATCTTATTAATATCGTTATTATTTTAGTATTATTTTAGACTAAATAGGCGGTAATAATAAAACATTTGCCGGTAAATATTGATAAATATTTGTTACTATTAATACAAATTAATGACTTAATATCTAATATTCTGTTTGCGTGAACTTATTGAACCATTTAGTAATAATAGATTTAAATGAGAAACTTATATAACATTTATATATATTTTATGATAATTTGATGCAATATTTTAATAAATTATAAATGAAATATTTTTTTTCTGTGTTCTAAGTGTTATATAAATTATAATATTTAATGAAATTGTTTTTTTTATTGTAAACAGAGATCTCATGAGACAGTGGTTGAGATGGAGGAGAACTCGACGACAATAATTTGTGACTCGAATTCAATACGATTACTCTTGAGAGACATGATATCTGAATGTCTTAAAAGGGTTTAAAGGCAACAAACCTACCAAACCTAACATTCCCATCAAGTTATTGGCACTAATCAGACTAATATGTATAACAGGCTATAGCGCATGCAATGATATGTCTAATTGATGTTGAAAAAGGTACCAAAGGTGATAATAGAATATAGTAAACAATTTAGTCCTTTATAGTGATGCACGTGCAGCCAATGTGTGGTCTATAGCCTAATAGCCTAATCTGAGTGGTGTTTAAGCACTGGTTGTCTGTCAAACACAACTCTCCTCATTTGGTGCTTTCCTATCACACTATCAACACAATTGTATACTAATGGCTAAACACATTTGTGATGAGCTGTTTATCTAAATATCCCATTAAAAAATCAATTATTATTTTGTCACTCAACAAATTGTTGTCTGTTTTTGAAAACATGAAAATTTCAGTTATCGGAAAATAACGGCTCGACTAACAAGTTATGTATATATCATATAAATCATGAATTTTTACTAAATATTTCTCATATCGTATATCTATAATATATGTTTTATATCTAATATCTAATTACTAATCAAATCACATCTATTAATGAATGTTTGAATGAATCAAAATTTCAAAATATTTACGATATATATATATTTTCATAACTTACTATATAAGTGTAAAATATTGAAATAAGAGCTAATAAATAAAATTTCAAAATATATATTTTTATGTATTAATATATATATATATATATAGAGGTATAAGATTGTAAGTGTATTATTAAACATTTAAGTTATATTTTTTGCTAACACCTAACACTCATTAAGCAAATAAATTTTTTATACACTAAATCAAATGTATATATATTAATATATAGATAATGATCACAAATTTGAATAACTATTTAAATGACAATATAAGTCGATTAATTTAATAGCTATACTTTCTGTGTATATATATGTCTTAGTTTAGTATTTATGAATATTTTTATACTTATAAATAATTTTTCACATTATAAAGATCAATGTACTGTTTGATTATTATTTGTTAAATATATATTTATGTTAATTAATTGCATATGTTGTGTAGTTAAACACTAAAATATTGAAATTTTAATAAAAAATACATATTTTGTATTTAATTTATGAAATTAATAAACTAAAAAATATATTTAATTATTATATATATATGTGCCTATATTTGTCAATTTTATTACACCAATAAGTTATAGAATAAAGTTTTTTTACTTAAAAAGTAATGTCTATTAAAATTTATAAATAATTTGTTATTTTACAGGTTTTTTAAAACTCTAAATTTGTAAGAAGAATGTGGAAAATATATAATTGTTGACAATTAAGTTTAAATTATTGTTATGAAATCATTAGACCAATAAACTTGGTTTTAATTATTTATTATTAAATGTATAAATTAGTAAATTATAAAACAAATATGTATATAGTATTTACATTAGTATTTTATTTAACTATTAATAATTATTGTTGTGGTGGTATTGAATACGACGATAATAATAATAATGACGATAATGATCACTCTTATACACAAAGTGATGGTCAATCACAAAGTCGTCACAATTCAAGACATCATCACAACAGCCATAATAAGAGTCTAAACCAAATATCATTAAGAGTACAATCAGAAGATAATAGTGATGACAGAAATTTAAGTGATTCACAGTCTAACTATCAAAAGTCAAGACTAGTTTCCGATATACCGCGACATTGGAGACGTAAATCAGTGCCACAAATGAATCCTTCTTCAGGAGTCGATATCAAAAGTCAATTACCATTTCCTAAGGGTTCGAGAAAAAGACATAATAATAATACAAACGAAAAACTGCCAAATATTATATTCATTCTGACTGACGATCAGGACATCGAATTAGGTCTGAATTTCATTTAGTTTTTTTTTTAATTGAATTCATAAATAATTTTATTTTTATAGTTATTTTAATACATTTTTAATTTGACTATATTTTTATTATTAACAAATATAAATATATAMTTTGTATATATTATTTAATTTAACTATACTATATTTTATTACTAATAAAATAAACTTTTTTCTATAATAATTGTGATTTAACTAAATTATAAATTAATATGTGTGTATTGTGTATTAATATTTGATTCTAAGATAATTACCGTATGACTTGACATTATATCGTTTAGATTAGTAATTAGGATCATAGAAACACAACACCTGTTTGATTACTAGTGACTAATTTATACATATTTAAGGACATAACAAAAACATGTATAAAGCAATACATGTGATGTCATGAGATATAATTATTTGTTTATTTTATTATAATTTATTATCAATAATTGTAATTGTTTCATAATTTACTGCAAATAACTAAAAATTTATAATTTAATAAAATAGGTTCATATAAATATTGTTTATTATTATTATTATTATTTAAAAATGTTGAGTTGTTATAAAATGTCAGGTTAAACGGTATAATTTTTCTATGTTATCTTTGCCGGTAGTATATATATTATGTAAAATAGGTAAATAAAAAAAGTTTAAATTAACTTAAAATTTATTATAATTATTTTTTTGAAATTTATTTCAAAAATAATAAAAAGTAGYTTTTATATTATATAAATTCACACAATGGATAAAAAATAACTTATCTTTAAAATTGTTATCTAACTGTGAAATCAAATAAAGACTTATTTTCACATTTTTTTGTTTTTCTTCTCGAAATAGAAAAATCAATAGAGTTTTATGTGAAATATATGTTATTTACAAAAATTTATTGTCAAACGGAAATTATAAAACTTTGACTTCACTCCAAAATTTCAAGTTTTCTAATGAAAATTTTTCTAATTATTTACTGATAAATGTTTTGCTAAAACATTTGCCAAAAAAAACTTTGTTTTCATTTTTTATATACATTGGTATTATAGTACCGGTATATAACTTATTTACATTTTATTTTTGTGAACTGTTATACTATAGATAGTCTACATTTATTTATTTAGTTCTTAGATAAATATATATATATATATATATATATATAAATTTTTATATATATATCCATATTATCTTGTAATTATATTATTAACATTAATTCTGCAAATTTATTTTTTTTAAATTAAACTGAAAATGTTAAATATGACAGTATAATTTTTATTTTGTTTAATTCATTATTCAATAAATTTTTATATTAAAATTTACTCTAAAAATATATACACAAATTATTTGCAATAAATCTTCGATTAGTTAATATTATACCACAGAATAAACAATCAAATTGTTTATAATATATATATATATTTATATGAGTAATTTGTTATTCACCACTTTAAGCATATTTTTGCATATATTTTCATTTTTCATATTTTCTGTCAACAAAAGTGTTACTAATTATAAAATTTGAAGGTTTTGTTTAAATTCTTGGTTTTAAATTAAATCGTTTTATTTATTTATTTAAAATCATAGGTTCTATGAATTTTATGCCAAAAGCCTCCAGAATTTTGGGCGAAGAGGGGATTCATTTCCCCAATGCTTACGTCACTACACCGTATGTTAACTATTATTAATCGGAACAGGTATTCTTTGCGCGTAAAATAAAACTGTTTTATTAAAAAAGTTAATGAAATTTAATAAATTGTAAAATTGTCATTTAAATCTATAACATCTCTTTAATAACTGACCAAATTTTGATTATTTTCGATAAACCATTTCATCTGATTTTGAACCGAAAAAGACTTTTTGACTCCTTCCAGATTTTCAATTTTTTCACTATCAAAGAAGTGTTTTATTTATTCAAATAAAATATAATCTGACAAAGCAATATATGGTAAATATAATGATTCATCAATGGTTTTAATAAATCCTATAAATTTATTATAATTCAATTGTATAAAACTTTTTGGTATATTTTCACTTAATTGGCCTATAGTTAAGAAGTGAAATTATTTAGTACTTAAATTAATGGCACATATCTTCAGCGAATTAAGTCCAAATGTCTTATAATAGTTCATAAATCATTACCCAATATCTATCTCATATTTTATCATCAAAAGTCTGGATATAACTTTACTAAATCCTTCAAAATTTTAGTATTAAAATTAGGTAGTTTTTCTGACTATTTTCTGTCTTTTACATTAACCTCTACTTCTTTCCATCATTTTTTATTTGTCAAATTAATGCTTACATTTAGTCTTCTATAAGAAGCCTTACTAATATTTTTGGCCTCCATTATTGCATTAATTAAGCAACGATATAGGTATTTTTGAGCATATATGAAAATGATGTCATGTGACATTAAGCTATGTAACGGCTTTATTAATAACTTTATTCTAAATGTTTAATAACATAATTAAAATACAATAATGTAAGTATTGAATTTTTAAAAAATTAAAATTTTAATCACTACATAGAACTCACAAAAACAAAGTAAAATATCATTATTTTTGAAACGCAAAGAATACCTGCTTCAATCGATATTGTATAAAAATCTATTGTAAATACTGGTATTAATTTACCTGTATATTAGACAAAATATTATTATTATACTAATTATTGATCAAATAGGATGTGTTGTCCGAGTAGGTCATCGTCATTAACAGGTCTTTATGTGCACAATCATAATGTTTATGTGAGACATAATTTCAAATGATTTTATATAAAAGTATATGAATTTGAATATTGATTTTATTTTTGAACACTTGTTTGTTGTTTGAAATTGACAGACAAATAATGACAATTGCAGTTCACAGCACTGGCAGACCACTTATGAGACGCGAACGTTCGCCACTTATCTAAGTAATGCTGGCTATCGGACAGGTATGTCATCGGTTCAATAGAGCATTAAATAAAAGAGTGCTTTCATGTCATTTAAATGCAACTAAACATTTGTATGCCTGTGTTTGACAGCATTTTTTGGTAAATACTTGAATGAATACAACGGCTCATACATACCTCAGGGATGGAAGGAATGGTCGGCATTAGTAAGGAATTCCCGGTTTTATAATTACACACTTAATGTGAACGGGAATAAAGTCAAACACGGAGACGACTATCATCTCGACTATTATCCCGATCTCATCACTAATGATAGTCTTCAGTTCTTAAGATATTCTAAAAGATTTTTTGCAAATAAACCATTGCTTATGGTTTTGTCATATCCTGGACCTCACGGTCCGGAAGAAGCGGCGCCACAATTTCAAAATCTTTTTATGAATGTCACAACTCATCGGTAATTAATGTTTTTCCTTTTAATATTGATTTTTTTGATAATTATTTTTTTTATTGATTGAAGAACTCCCAGTTGGAACTTTGCTCCCAATCCCGACAAACAATGGCTAATGAGAATAACTGGTAAAATGGAACCAATTCATGAAGAGTTTACTGATTTATTGCATACCAGAAGATTACAAACATTACAATCGATAGACGAGGCCGTAGAGAAAGTAATGTTTTATAATTAAAATACAAAATTATTTTAATTAAATTATTTTAATTATATTTTTACAGTTGTATAATGAACTTAAAGAACTGGGAGAACTTGGTTTGAAATTATTCATTTGTCTATAAATTAATTGATAAATTAAATTATGTTTTTGTTTTTAATGAAACAGATAATACTTATATAGTTTACACGTCAGATCACGGCTATCATTTAGGACAGGTATGTGTTTATATATTTTTGTAAAATGTATAAATTTTCTGTTTAGAAATTTAAATAATATTAATAATTTTTTTTACGTCTGGCTTATAAATATTTGCAATATTTTTTAAAAAGTTTGGTTTAGTTAAGGGCAAAGCTATGCCTTTTGAATTTGACGTAAGGGTACCATTTTATGTGAGGGGACCTAAATTAACTGGTGGTCAAAAGTGAGATAAACTTTCATTAATTTATTTTATTATTAGATTAAAAATTTAATTATTTATTACAGAATCGATAATATTGTGCTGAACATAGATTTGGCCCCAACTTTCCTTGATATAGCCGGTGTCAAAGCACCCGATCATATGGACGGCTCATCGTTTCTGCCAATTCTGAAGAATACTTATAAAACAGAATTGTTGAACAAATCGGACGGCGAAACAACTCATCAGAAAATTAATTGGAGACACACTTTCCTTATTGAGAGAGGGTTTGCATAATATATTATAACATTTATGTTGCAGTAATTGTCTAATCTTTGTATCATTAATATCACATTATACTAGAAAATCAATGCGAGATTTAAATTATAATTTGAGGACTTTGACCAAAAAAGAGTGGCTAACCATAGAGTGTCAAAAACCAGAATACCAGTCACCTTGTGGTCCATACCAGAGATTTGAATGTTTTTTTGATGGCTATGAGATGAGAATCAGAAAATGTCGAAAGACTTTGTGGGATCACTCTTACGAAGATAAAGCACACAAAAAGTGTATTTGTCCGGAGGATCAGCCAACCCATGCATTTGACGACCAAAACTTTGAAGATAACTCTGAACTAAGTTCTGATCCCTTTATAAATGTAAATAAGCGTCGATTAAATACAAATGAGAAGAAACTTCAGCGAAGATTTCTTAAAGAGCACGTCATAAACAAAGATTTTCGACCAACTTTTATTGAATCTCGAAATAAAAGGGATTTAGATTTTTCGATTGTGGAAACGTTTGATGTCGAGGGTGTATATGAATTGAGCAAACTTCTGGACGCCAGTACTTCCAAAATGTTTAATGAATCGACAATTTTTGAAGACAACTTCGATGACATCGACGACAAGAATAGTACGTTATGTACTGTTTCTTCCAATTTATCCATCTCTTGTTCAGATGAGGTCTACCAAAACAAACACTTATGGAAACAAAAGAAGAATAGATTAGATTCAATAATAAAAAAACTTCAGAATAAACTGACAGAACTGAAAGGCATTCGCCGTCACTTGAATATGAAGAGACCATTACTTCAAGGACTGGATTCAATTGGTTCTGATCATAACGGATGCGATTGTAATGTAAATCGGGATAATCGGTCACATCATCGAAGGGACAAGTATTGGAAGCGACAGTTTTCAAAGTATTCAAAACGCAAACGCATCAGATTTATGGACAAAGAGTGGAGAAGAGAAAAGAAAATGCGGCGAAAAAATAAATTTTTGAACACAACCTGTAATTACGAGAAAATGAATTGTTTTACTCACGACAACCAGCACTGGAAGACCGCACCTCTTTGGACAAGTAAGTGATCTCTTCATTTATATACACATACAAAGACAATGCAAACATTTGTCTTATTTTTAATACCGTATATATACTGTATATATCTATTACTTGCAAATCATATCTATGGGGCATCTATAACAACAAAGAGAATAAATTATATAACAATAATATAAAAATATAGATATCATCGCAAATGGTTTTGCTTTCATATATCAATTGTATTTACTGTATAACTTGTAATATAATAATAATAAGCCGTAAGAAATAGTTTTAATCTATTTATGAATTAATGAATTTAAAGCACATCCCACCCACCTCTATATATATATATATATATATTCCAGTGTATACCCCTCCCAGGTTGTCATCAAATGTTGAATTTACACAACAATTTCTATCTTAGATTTTACGATAGACACTGTTATTTTCAATCTAATTTAAGCATAACGTTAACTAACAAAAATTGTTTATTTTTTGATGCCAATGATATTAAACGAAGTTTTAATTTATATAATATATAGTATATGTATTTATAGTGATGCTATCAATAAATGGCATTCATTAACTGGCAATTTATTTACGGCTTTATCACTTACTTTTATTGTTAAAAAATATACATTAAATTTTTTATATTCAACAAAAACACATTTAAAAACAAAAAATATTTTCATATTAGAGAACATTGTATATAATATACTTTAGTTTTTGTATAATTAAAAATTTGTAAATTGCCGGTAAGTATTGTTTACGTTAAATAATGCCCGTTTGAATTGATGCAGATATAGAGTATTGTTTTTATCTAAAATATTGTTTTTTATTTTTTACTATTTATATTTTATTTATACTTATATAAATTTTGTATATAAATTATACACAATAATACAATTATATATGTGTTTAAATAAATATTACAAATTTAATTCATAGAGTAAACTGAATAATAGTAATTATTATTATTATACTATATATTTAGAGAAATGAATAGCGGTTTATAGAAAAATGTCTCTTATTATATATTCAAACAAAATTGTAGGCAATTATCATAATTAGTTCAAAACTTTCTCAAACTATTATAGCACACACACACTGAATACAACTACAGTATAATATGAATATTTGAATCATTTATTATTCAAGTTTCAGCCAAAATTTGTCTACAAATTACATATTAATAGAAATTCATGAATCGTTTCAATGACTCAAACAATTATTTTGTTATATTATAACTTATGATAATATTTTTGAATTGTATGAATGCTTTTTCCCTAAATTTCAAACCTCACAACCATTTTAGCATTTGATGAAATGTTAAGCATAGATGGACGAGAGTTATCATCAAAAATTGAACTAAATATTCATAACTTTTATTATTTATAACTTATATAACTTAATATACATTACCATATAATTTTTATATTAATATTTAATTCTTATCATTAATGTTAGCAAAAATATAATCAACCGTAAAAACAATTTAATCAATTATGAAATTAAGTCTGAATATGCAGAAACCACTTATAATCATTTAGACTCATTTATAAAAGTCCCATATTTACGGTTAAGTCTTAAAGCAAAATATAAAGTACGCTCTCATAAAATAATAAATTTATTGAATAAATACATAAAATTACATTAATTTTCATCACTTTCTGATATATATTCATTATTATAATTACAATTAATTTCTTTAAAATAAGATAAATAATATTTTTGATTTTCTATATCTAAATATTTTAACAAACTTAAAATATCATTATATTTTTCTTTAGTAATACCTATATCAACAATTAATAAATTTGTATCTATAGTAGATAATTTAATATCTATTAAATTAGCTTTAATTAAATTAATTTTAACAACATTTTGATCATAATAATTATCATAAAGAAAAATATCACCATTAGGATTAAAACAAAATTTTACAAATTTAGAAATATGAATTTTTGATCTTTTTTCAGAAAAAAAATTATTCAAAAAACTATTAAAATCATAAACCTCTGATTCTATAGTATTAAATTTACATTCTTTAATTAAATTTATATATTTATTAGGATTTTGAATAATTTTATTTTTACAATTTTTACTTATAACTCCAAAATTTCTATCACACATACAAAATGTATGACCTTTTACAGGATAAATATGTGTTAATTTAATATTAAATTTAATTGAAATATAGGAACAAAATTTTACCATGCACCAATTTTTATTTTGAGCACATGTATTATCTGACATAAATATAATTTCTTTATTTTCTAAAATATCATTATTTATAAAATTTAATACTCTATATAAATTAGAAACTACACTATTAGCATTTTTTGGGAATTTCCCTTCAATATTATAAAAAATAAATGAATCATAATTATATACATGAATATTTAATATAAAAAACCACAATAATCTTTTATAAAAAACATCTGAATTTGTTAAATATGGTAAAGGCTTATTTTGCCCATAGTCAAATTCAATTACTAAATATTTATTATCATTAATATACATATTTTTAATGTTTTTGTGTGCTAATATAGAGGATTTATGATTGTTATAATCTATATCTTTTATTAAACTTTTATTATTTATTTTATTATTGTATTCAAAACAAAAATCACATTCATCAGCTTTAGGTTTTTTAAATTGAATATTATAATGTATTTTAAAAAAATTATTAAATAAACTAAAGCTAATTTTAGAAATATTTTTATCTTTAGAATAATTTAAATAAAGTTTATATAATTTTGTTATATTTAATTCACTATTATAAAAATATAATTTATTACTATTTGTATAATGAGATGGTAATGTAGGGAATAAATTAATAAAATCATTAAATATAATTTTATCAATTTTTGATTTTTTAATATTATAACCTCTTAGATCAACTAAATTAATATTTTTATTTAGTTTGTTTTGAATTTTTTTAATTCTAGATATATCAATATTTAATAAATTTATTATAAAAGTTAAACAAACTTTAACCTCATAATTGTCTTGATTTTTAATTGCATAATTCCATATGTTACTTCTCGGTGAATCTTGATTATCATTTATTTTTTTCATCATCTCTTTTAACATATAATCTTGTTTTTCTTGATTCATTAAATTCCAGTACCTGTTATAATTAAAATTAAAAAAAATATAATCAAAATTTATTTTATTTAATAACTTTAAAATTATTGGTTCGATTGATCTAAAATTTAATATATTATAATATAAGGTAAATTAAAATATATCAATTAAAATATTAATTTCCAAAATTTGCTTAACCGCGCCTGCTAATTTGTAGTTATTTTTTATACTAGCAGTTAAATTAAAATTAAAATATTACAATTATTATTAAAAACTACTTATATTTAAATTAATTTAGTTATAAATACCTGTTAAATATTTCATTTTGTTGTATTTCATTAAATTTTTTATAACATTTCAATCTTTTACAACAATTTTCTATATTTACAAATGTTTTTTTAGGTACATTTTTCCCTTTAGATGTTATGTAATCATTTCCCTATTTTAAATAAAATAACTATTATTAATATTAATTATTATAATTTTATATATATTTACCGATTGTCTTCTTAATTTATTTTCAACTCTTTTATGGCAAATTGGATAACTTTTCCTATATTTTGATTCATTTTTTTCTTTTTTTTTGCTTTCAATTAAATCAATTAATTTATCTCTGTTAGTTATTTCATTTAAATATTGAATATTGTTGACATTAAAAGATGCATTCATTGCATATAAAAACACAATATACAAAAACTTAATCATAATTATAATAACTAAATCACAATTAGTAGTAATAATAATAATAAATAAATTACAATTTGTAGTAATAATAATAATGATAACTAAATCACAATTAGTAATAATAATAATAACTAAATCACAATTTGTAGTAATAATAATAATAATGATAACTAAATCACAATTAGTAGTAATAATAATAATGATAACTAAATCACAATTAGTAATAATGATAACTAAATCACAATTAGTAATAATAATAATAACTAAATCACAATTTGTAGTAATAATAATAATGATAACTAAATCACAATTAGTAATAATAATAATAACTAAATCACAATTTGTAGTAATAATAATAATGATAACTAAATCACAATTAGTAGTAATAATAATAATGATAACTAAATCACAATTAGTAATAATAATAACTAAATCACAATTAGTAATAATAATAACTAAATCACAATTAGTAATAATAATAACTAAATCACAATTAGTAATAATAATAATAACTAAATCACAATTAATAATAATAATAATTTAATTTAAATAAATTTTAAATAAAAAAATACAATATTTTTGAATGAAACTATTTGTTAAAATATTTGAAACCAAATGATAGAGATTAATAAAGTTTTACATTTGTTTAAGGATTAGTACTATTTTTGATAAGAGTCATGAGTTTATAGGTGGTTTCTGCATATTCAGACTTAATTATGAAATTACTATTAGTTAAAATATTAGTTTCCCTTATAAATAATATAACTGTTAGTTTAAATTTTCTTAACATTAGGCATTACTTGTTATTATTATTATTTCATAGTTTATGTTAATTTTTTATATTTATAAATTATAATATTAGTGCAACCATTTTAAACAAACACTACTTATATATAAATAAAGGCTTTTATTATAATTTTTCTCAGAGCTTAGACTTCTTCATTAATATTAAGCAAAATTTTGTTTAATATACAAAATCTTGTAAAATGCTATTAAATTGTCAAAAGCATTAGCAAATAGCTATTACTCCAACAAAAGTTTTAATTTATTTAAATACTTTTTTAACTTTAATAACTATTTAATATAAGCCCAAAAAAAGTATAAATATGCGCTGAATATAATATATATATATATTTATATAACTATGATATATAGTATAAGAAATGAGACAATTTTTCCTGTTTAAGCGTCTTTTAAAAGTCTTTATATATTACTATTGCTTGCGAGTAGTCATATCTCTTACTTATATCACATAAAATTTTATTTTACTTATTATTATAAATATAAAAAATAATAATAATTTTGATCGAATGAAACTTTTTTCGATGAAATTTTTTCTTCAAAATAAAATCACGTATTAATATAAATATAATATATTTAGAGAGTTAATGTGTGGTAATATTGTATATATTAAATATATTAAATCCTAATATAAAAAGTTTAGTTTGCATTAAGTTTTTACTTCAACATATCGTATAAGTTTTATAACATATAACAGCATTTACTTGAATAGTTTGCTATCAGCTCTAAATCTAAATCAAATTCAGTTCAATTATTAAGCCCATTGGTTGTATCTATTTTTATATAAAAAAGTTTGAGATATTTTTTACCTAACTATTGAATAAGTATTTTGTGTTTAGTTATTTTGTTATTTTTTTGTTGTTGATATACATTACTGAAAATAACATATAACTATATGCTTTATAATATCTAATATACTGTATATACAGTATGTTTATAGTTTGCGTATATTATATATATATATATACTGTATATACTGTATATACTGTACTGTATAATACATTTATGTAATAATGTATTCAAATTAGCGTTTGAAGTGAATTTTTAATGAACATTTATAATGTTATATATCATAGTGAGAGAAATGATTTGCTGGTTTAATAGCACCGGTAATAAAGAGAAACACCACTTCTGGCTATTCTAAACCTCAATCAAAAAATGATCAAAAGATTATACTTATAATACATTTCAACTAAAAAAACCATTTCTCTATGATATCAAACAAAAAAAACTTAAAAAACAAGTCGTGAGTTTCACAAACAATGCTCTCTTACATACACTGAGAGGGCTATTATACCTAAAAAGCAAATTATAATTTGAATATTCATCTCAAATACTGTCACATAATTCATATGTGAAAAGAAATTTACTGTAATTTTTGCCACAACTATGTTTCCAACTTTTTTTTAAACAGAGAGAGAGAGAGAGCAAATATTTGATTGATTTTATTGATATAAAAGCCTATCTTAAGTAGTTTTGTGGATGAGTTTGTATGTAATCGATAGCATATGTAATGACAGATATTTTTATATATTATGTTAGATTTGACCAAATAATGAACCAACCGTTTAATAGTAAGAAAAAAGACATATCAAACACACAGTTAATGTCCACAAAATTTTCAGTCCATTGAACTCATTGTATAACAAATATATATACACTTAATATAGAATATACAGCTTTGCATATAATTTGTGCTTATTTTCACAAGTTTTCTCTTTGATTATATATTTAATTATTATTTTTTGCTAAATTTGTCTCACAATCAAAACATGGGTAATAAGGTTTGGGTCTAAAACGGGAAACAGTGGTTCACTGTATGTGTTTTTGTGACCAAAAAGGCCCCAAAGGAGATATACACAGCATATAAAAAACAAGTGATATAAATAAATATCTAGTGGTATGGCTTGTGGCTCATCATACCTGAAAGTGTGCACACATTTTATTACCCTATAGTTAATGTGTTTTATTTACAACCCGTGGCTCACGACTTGAAATTGTAGCCCAACTTTAACTTTAATCAGTGATTGAAATTAAACAACAAATTGAAAAATAAATTTTAAAAATTGAGCACAACTTTTGATTAATAAAATAAATAACAATACATTATTATTAACTTTTATTTTATACAATAAAATTATAAAAATATAAGACGGAAAAAATATATAAATAAAAAAATTAAAATCAATAAATTTGCTAATGTTTACTACTTTTTATTATGTTTTTAAAAAATTGATTTTTTGTTGCGTTTAAAAGCAATGCCATTGAATAAATAGTCACATTTTTTTTTGTTTAGTAAAAATCACACAAATATAAGATTAATTACCATTTGTTGATTGAATAGTTTCATTTTGCAAACAATAATAATAATTTATTGAATATATTGCACATTATTTTTATTGAGTAATTGCTATTATATTAATATATGATATATACACTTATTATTCTCTCTCTTATTTTCAAACAAATGAAAGTTTTTACATTTAATATAATATTTTGTATTAATCTTATGACACAAAAATTAATGTCATTTGAAAAAAGCTAACTATTTATCAAAGTAGTTGATCATAATTTTTTTGCTAAAAAGAAATTACTTTTATATATAAATATATATATAAAAAACTTATAATATAAATTATTTCTATGGATATACTTTAATGTAAATTGAAAGCTCAAACTAATGATATTCAGTTGTTTGGAGATATCGTTGACTTATTTACTAAATTATTAAATTGTTTTTCTCTCAACAATATGCTATTTATCAGAATTAGTCGACAAAACCTCATAACCTCTGCAATACAACAGTCAGTCATAACTATTACTACTATTGTATGACTTCACTAATGTATTCACCGTTTTATTTGCTATAAAAAACTTTTTTAACATCAAGTTTTTTTTGCTGCAGATATCGCTTAATTTAATGAATAGTTGAACCGAATCTATGCTATGACTTATGGGATATTCAACGGCTAATCTATTTTATAAAAACCAGAAAAAATGAGAATAAATTTAATTATATTTATAATAAAATATAGACCGGTATATATCAGACTATATTTATAGGAAATATAATGCAATTTGTTTTGAGTGAAGCACTATACCACTCATTGTTAATAAATAATCAGCTGTTTAGTAGTTAAAAAATGTTGTACATTAAAGTTGATTATAACAAGAAAAAAATAAGGCAATCAAAAATGATTTGTCAGTCAATAACTTTTTTGTTGTATATATAATATATAAAAAAAATATTTACAACAAAAAACAACAAAATTGTTTTATCTTCTAATACTATAATTTAAGGTTATTAAAAATCTTTCAGCTTTATTAAACATTTGACAACGAGAGCTCCTTGTCCTCTCTTATTTTATATACCAGTATTTCCCCTGAGTTAACAAAACTGAGACAATATATATATATATTGAGAGAGAGAGAGAGAGAGAGAGAGAGAGAGAGAGAGAGAGAGAGAGAGAGAGAGAGAGARAATTGACTTTTTTTGTAATTATTTAACAAAACAAATGAAACAAAAAGATGTTTGAATCGATTGAATAATAGTTTTTGTGTGTTTCAGTGGAAGAGCTGTTTGCGTGTAAATTGTGCCCAAAGATTACAATCAGAAGTTTGCAATTCAACAAAACAGTTAATGATATCTCAGGGCATAGTTATAAAGTTAAGTTAATTTTGTTGTCTTATAACGGGTTCCGCCAAATGTATGCTTTAATCATATTTTCAAATGAAAGGCAAACACAATAATAATAATAATAATAATAATAACAACACGAAAACTTTTTTGTGATTATTTGATTGATTTGTTTGTAAACTTGTTATCAAATTTATGAAAACTAATTTCAATTACTTTCAACTTTATTGTTATTTTAATATATAATGTATATATGTATGGGAGGGTAAATAGTATTAAAAAATAATTGGACCTCAAATTGGCATCATTTATAAGATTAAAATCTAATTTTGAGTTAACAAATAGGATTTTTTATATCATATGTTGTATTGTTTAATAATTAAATAAAATTATATTAATCTCGACATAAAAAAAGCTAAACAAAAGATCAAACAATATATTTATAAAAAAGTACAATATTTTTAACATACAGTAATGGTATTGAGATTGCTTTAAATGATATGAGATAAGTGATCTATAATACAGTATATATATATATCGGTATAGTTATAAGTGATAAACTAGTATTTATTAATGATGTATTTGATATTTTGATTGTTAAACATAAATATCTATTAAATCTATGAAATAGAGGGACCGTTTTGTTTCTGTCAAAACTCTAATAATAATAGCTTTTGGTGTTTGCGGACAATTAACTCAACGCATAACTTCTTGTACTGCGAGTTTGTCACCGGATTTATTACTTATTATAATCTATTACGAGATCCCTATCAGGTATGCCTTTTAACTAAGACAACAGTAGTGACATTATATCAATATATATATATAGTTTGTAATCCAAAATAACGTGATATCAGCACTCCATCAGCAGCTCTATAGCCGCCTAAAGGAGTATTGATTGAATGGTATATCTATTGAACGCATCATTTGTCACACAATAGATATATGATATTTGGATTCAATTCATGCTCTCTGTCTCTCACTATTTGTTATCACTATTGCACTGAATTAATGATATAATAGCACAACTCATTTGTGTGTTTGTTGTATATATTAAACACATATATTATTTGGTATATATAGCTGAAGAACGCCATATACGACCTCGAGTTCAGTACACTTGAAGACCTAAGACGACAGCTGAACAAACTGAAGACCTGTGTTGGCGCTAAACAGTGTACACTACCGGTCCGTAAACACTATAATAATCACATTATAGATGGTATGACCAAAGATATACAAATTTTACCAAATATTATGCTTTAAGTTAAACCCTTAATCTATAATATAATCCAATATAAAGTTTTTATTGCAACAAAATTGTGATATCATTTACTTTATATGTATATATCATATAAATGTTATGTTTTACCAGAAATGTCTGATCTGAAAATAAATTTTTATTTTCAATTTAAACCCGTTTTTGGCAACAAAAATATTATTATTATTTATTTGAGTGATTCCCAATACATTTATTATTATTTTTTGTTGTTTTTACAGATTCAGCGAATATGAGTGGTATTAGTATTTCAAACAATTTTTCGGCCAAAAGTCGATCGGAAAGAAAAATTATTTCTTAACTAACAGTATATATATATATATATAAGAGACAAATGGCATACAAATTGGCAAAATAAAAGCACAAACATTTAGATTTGGATTTTTCTGACATAGATTTATATATAAAATACAAAATCGCATTTCAAACACAAATTTCTTCACAATTCTGTATTAAGGAATCAATTTTTTTTATGGTTTCAACATTTTTTTGATACATTTAAAGGAAATTTTGATAACTTAAGAGATATGCCAAATATTCAATTGGTGTACAAATTTAGGACATTTTTTCAAAAAATTGTTTTTTTGTTTTTTCATAATTAATTTTAATTGAGCACAACGTTTAAGTAATTTGTGATATTTTCATACACACGCCATAAAAACATATTAAACTGTTTTTCACTTATATTTATTTTTGTTTTTATTTTAATAATTTTTACTTTCAATTGATTTGTTTTTAAAACAAGCATATGTAGGAAATAGATGTCACTTTTTAAAGCAAAAAACAAATTATATTTTATTTATTTTACATTTATTTTTATAATATATTTTAAAATTTATAGCTTAATATTATTACATTAATTTTAATAATATATGTTTATATGTTATCAAACAACATATACAATACTACTATACATATTAAAATACTTGAACAATATTTGTGTATATTATAATTTACAATTATGCATTTTCTTAAATATATTTTATGTATTAAACAATTTAATCATATTAAATATAATGTATTAATATTAAGTAGTATTACATAATATTGTATTGTCTATAAAAACAAAAGTATTATTACTATTATTATTAATTTTTAAACATAAAATATAACAATAATTTCATGAATTATTTAGTCCTAAATATTTTTTATGCCCTTTGGGCCACTTTTATTGAGAAAACTTATCATTCAATTTATTGCTGTTTACTTTAATTTTTACATTAAAACTCAACACAATTTTAGAATACAATCATTTTTATATTTTGTTATATACTGTATAAGGCATAAACTGTATATATATATATATATATATATATATATATATATATATATATATATATATATATATATACTGGTATAATATTTATAGTTATATTCTCTTTATTTTTAGTCAATACTTTTTTTAAATTTATGACATAATTTTTATTTTATCTATTTTCTTGTTTCCAATGCTTTTAATCATTTAATTTTTTTTAATACTATCAAAGGAAAAATATTTTTACTTACTAAAAAATTTTAGGTGATTTTGTATTTATACACATTTTTTTGTAGATAAATATATATATATATACAGTATAACATATATTGTATTTATTATACAGTATAAAACATCATATAAAGTCTGTACTATATATATATATAATTAAAAGGCAATATGTTTTACTGTGTTTTACTACTACTGGCATATAATGTATAGAATTGTAAACATTATAATAATACAATCGATAATAATATAAAAACAAAAAACATATGGAGTATTACAAGTAATTGTTGTTTATTTTTTGTTTAAATAAGTATTAATATAAACAGTTAGTTATAATTATAAAGCTTTTAAATAATTATTATATTTAAAATTTATCCAGCAACACATATTTATTGTAATTAAGTGATTAAATCTAATATTTTAATAAATCCTAGCAACTAATGAAAGGATATAATAAATTATATTATATTTTAGCGAAAATCCCTCAAACAAGTCATTTGCAATGCTTTCAAAATTTAAGGAATTTTTTGGCGAAAACTTTATTTATTTTTTTTGAATGAGAGGACACATGACTTCACAAACAATTGATTTAAATATGTTGTTTGTTTGCCACCAAATACTGTGTTTAATACATTTCTTTATCATCATTACAAACAAATTATTATATTTATATAATTTGACGTATTTTTTCATCAAATATATACAGTATATATAATTATTAGGGTTGCATCAAATTCTTTCCTTCGTTTTATTTTCCAAACGTTCCTTATATTGACTGGGAATTTATAGGGAATTTATTTTCTTGTGCCACAGTTTACTATGATGTTTGGAAAACAAATATTAAACTGTAGTTTGAGTGGTTTTGATGAATAGTATGAATTAATTTATTAAATTGAAATTTATTTTTAAATATTTCAATAACATTTTTAGCGAAATATTTAAGTTTTGTTAATATTTATTCTAATAATATAAATTATATTTCCATTTCTAACAATCAAATGAGTGAAAATTTTACTGGAAAATTGGAAGAATTTTATTAGGGAACTTCCCTCCCTGAGAAAGTTCATCGAATTCTAATAATTATAAATAGTGTACTTATAATACTGTATATACCAGTGTTGGCAGAGACTAAATGTTTTTATAATACAAAGCGTATTATACAGTATATTATAAACCAATGTATAACACATGGCCAATTTTCCATAAAAAGCATTGATATAAGCAAAGTAAACCATGTTTTTTAATAAATATAGATTTAATATTAATTTTTATTGAATTTCTATTTAAAATTATTTTATTTTCGTTGTTTAAAAACAACGATTATTATAGCAATAATGCATTTTCTAGTAATTATATTATTACTAAATTTTAAAAATAATATTTTCAACATAGTTTTAAAAATTGTATTATACTGTATTATTCAGTACAAAGACAAAATTCAAAACCTTGTATTTTCCCAACCCTAGTATATATACATTAGTATACAATGTAGAGTATATTAATAATATAGATTATAATTTTACGTGTATAAATACATTTATATATTTATATACATATTTAACAATTTTAAATATTATCTCTTACCTGTTATTTTAAGCATATTTTTCAATCTAAACTTTAAAAACATTTATAAAGAAAAATGTTGAGCTTTTCCTGTCAGTAATTTAAGGATAATAAGAATATGTGATTAAAATTTTATACAATTTATAAATTGGTTGACCTCTCATTACTAAATAAATACCGTCAATTATTTTGACTAACATTTAAATTATATTATTAATATTATGATCATTTATATTATCATATGTTGTTTAGTATAAATATAAAATGTAAATAAATATGAAAACAGCAATTTAATAAATACAYTATACTTTAGTCTACCTATTTTTCAATTTAATTTTATGCTTATTTTATATACAGTACTATAATTTATTAAATGAAAATATTTTTTTTTTGAAAAATATAATTATGTTATTTAACAATAATATTATTTTAATGTAATATAAATTGTATCGAAAATTAAGTAAATTTGTATAATTATATAATAATAGCATTTTATATTTAAAACTAACTAAAATTTCAAACAACTTATGTTGATATTAATGCATTTGAGACCAAATAATGATAGCAAATGTATCCATAAAAAAATTAATATAAAGATTGATTTGATTTGCTATATAATTGTCTGTGAATTGATGTGTCCCTACAAACCATACAAACAATGTATAGCACATCCATTTGAATCCATGGCTCATATATATAGTCAACTCAACTAAAAATACATAACAATAGCCTTTGAAGTAAAAAACAACAACTGACTGCCGGAGTAGTCGCCAACAAAATTATGGTACAGGAGTTAAGGGAAAGTTATGTTTATGTGACTGAATGGAGGAAAGGATTTTTTATGTGTAAATTTCCGACACTATTAGCACTCATTTACTCAGATCATCGCTCAAAATTGTCTCTCCTTTTCCTTTATTGTGAAAAACACTATTATTAGATAAAAGTTATGAACCTTAATGTTATTACAAAGTCAATCAAAGCAACCATTTTTATAATAAATAAGTCATTTTTACTGTATGTTATGATGCAGTGATTTGCAAAAATAAATAACAAAACAAACTTTAAAAAACATTTTTATTATTTGATATTTTTATTTTTATATATATATTTATAAAATATAAATTTTAAACATTCAATTCATATATAGTTGAAGTATACATAAAAATACACAAAGTGTATACTAAACTGTTATAATATATTTAAGAGCTCTCTCTCTTTCTTTCTTTCTCTCTCTCTCTCTCTCTTCTTTCTTGCATCTGATAGCACAGTAAGAAAAATAGGACACATCCTTCAAAACTAGTCGGAAAACTCTTGAAAATTTTCATTTGGATTCAAAAAATTATTTAGTTTTTATTTAAAATAATATTTTATATATAATAATATACTGTATATGTACTAAACCTATATATGGTTTATATAGAATATAAAGGTTCATAAATAATTTATATTGTTTTTAATCCATAAACTTTTTAATATAACAAAAAAAAGTTTTTACATATGATTTAAGGCTTCAGTGAATTTCAGTAATGTCTGTCAATTCTCTCTCTCTCTCTCTCTCTCTCTCTCTCTCTCTCTCTCTCTCTCTCTCTCTCTCTCTCAGCAATTATTAGTTAAAAATAAATTATAACAAAAAACTAGTTCACAACAGTTTTAAAACTGAAAAATCTAGTCCTTTCTCGCGTAGAAATAAATGCCCAAATATTATCAAAATATATACAATAAATATATTTTTGTGTGTATTTATGTGTATTTGTGTGTGTGTGTGTGTGTGTGTGTGTGTGTGTGTGTGTGTGTGTGTGTGTGTTGTAATTTAAAAAAAAGACTTTTGTTGTATGAGTTTTAGTGTTGAGTAACTTTTTTATTTTGTGTTTTTTTAGACAATAGATTTCAAAACAATAACTCATTTTTATTGGATTCATTGGCTTTTTAAAAACTATGAAAAACTATGGGCAGAGATCTGTGAGAATAATAGATATATATCTTTTGGAAACTTTATGAGAGTTAGAGATTACGAAATATTAAAAAAATAATAGAAAAACTTTCAATAAAAAAATAATAATAACACAAAAAACTTTTCAACAAATAAAAGCACATTATTTATAATAATGAATATAACAAATAAAGTTGAGTTAAATGTAAGTAAATAATTATGGAGAGAAAGAAAGATAGAAAGAGAGAGAGAGAGATAGATAGATAGATAGATAGATAGATAGATAGATAGAGAGAGAGAGAGAGAGAGAGAGAGAGAGAGAGATGA